GGGTTTAGGGTTTAGGGTTTAGACTTGCCATAGAAACGGACAAGACAGCAAGGGTTTTCTTTATCTTTTCTTGATACCTTAACAATACTGTTTGTTGTTCCTCCTCTTAGTACACTCCCCTGCAGCAGCTGCAGCACTTCGTGCTCCCTGCTGCTGCTGCTGTTGCTGCAGCTGCTGCTGCAGCAGCTGATGCTGGTTGTCCTGCTGCAGCTGCTGTCACTGGTACTGCAGCAACTGCTGCTGCTGCAGCAGCTGCTGCTGCAGTCCGATGCAGCAGCAGCAGCAGCTAAATCTGGCGGTATCCCTAGGTAGGAAGGAATAAGCTGCGCTGCCTTCAGCAGCGCAGCAGCAACAAGAGCATCTTCTTGCTGCTGCTCTTGCAGCTGCTGCAGCCCATGCTGCTGCTGCTGCTGCACCTCCGTGTCTGGAAGCTCCGGCTCGGCTGTGCTGTCAGATATGCTGCCGCAGCAGCGCGCTCCAGTTCCTAATACAGCAGCAGCAGCAGCAGCTGTTGCTGCTGCTGCTGCTGCAGCGGTTAACCCAACAGTTCCACCCAGTTGCTGTTGTTGTTGCTGCTGCTGCTGTTGCTGCTGCTGCTGCTGCTGCTGTGTCGTTGTCATGCTGACGGCGTCGCTGCAGCAGCAGAGAGAAAGAAGACACCCAGGAAGCTCCTGCTGCTGCTCTCGGACAGAGCAGCAGCAGCAGCAGCACCACCACCTCCAGCAGCAGCAGCAAGTCCTGCAGCAGCAACAGCAGCAGCAGTGTGTGCCGTCTATATATCCTAATCTTTTATATATAATAATTATTAAGACAAAAAAGCCAAAAGTTGCAAAAGAGATATTTAGCTAAGCAGCAGTTGCTGCTGCTACTGCTACTGCTGCTGCTGCTGCTGCTACTGCTGCTGCTGAATTGGGGCTGAGGAGGAGCAGCAGCAACAGCAGCAGCAGCTAACGAAATCTTCACATTAATTAATTCATACAATATAAAACAAAGTATTGTTTCTTAGTCTTCCTGCTGCTGCTACTCTGCCATCTGCCGTTGCTGCTGCTGCCGCTGCTGCTGCTGCTGCCAGTGTTGCTGCTGCTAAGTAGCGCACATCAATGTCTAATGCAGCAGCAGCAGTAGCTATAGAAGCAGCAACAGCAGCAATAGCAGCAAGAGCAGCAATAGTAGCAACATAATACAATGAAGCCAGCTCCGTATGCCTGGGCATCACGGTCATCCATAGCAGCTGCAACAGCAGCAACAGCAGCAGCCGCTGCTGCTGCAGCGGCAGCAGAAGCAGCAGCAGCAACAGCAGAAGAAGATGCGTTCTTGTTGGAGGAAGATGAAGCCAATGAGCTGCTGCGGCAGCTGCAGCGGCGCGATGCAGCTCCGTATATCAGAGCGCAACAGCTGCTGCAGCAACAGCGGCAGCAGCAGCTGCAGCAGCAAATGCAGCAACAGCAGCAGACCGATGGCTCAACACTCCAGCAGAATATAGGCTTGCTCCAATCCGAGCAGCAGCAGCAGCAGCAGCAGCAGTTATTGGCTGCAGCAGCAAGCCCCTCAGCATTTGAACGTAGGAGGGTGCACCATGATAGTCCTGCTGCAGGAGCAGGAGCAGCAACAGCAGCAGCAGCAGCAGCGAGCCCGTCAGCAGCAGCAGCAGCAGCAGCATCAGCAGCAGGAGATGATAGCCTTTTCTGGTATGTTCCTTCAGAGGAATGTTATACAACAAAGCCTGTGTATATCCCTTTGCTGCAGCTGCTGCGGCAGCAGCAGCAGCAGCGGCGTGTAGCAGCAGCAGAGCAGCAGAAGAGGCAGCAGCAGCAACAGCAGCAGTTACAGCAGCAGCTGCAGCAGCAGCGCATGCAAATGGGGGGTCCTCAGGGTTTGCTGCTGGAGGCAGAAGCATATGTTGCTGCTGCTTTGTTGCGTCGTCGTCTGCAGCTAACAGCAGCAACTAAGAAGCTTGATGCTCAGTTTGCTGCTGCTGCTGCTGCAACAGCAGCAGCAGAAGCAGCAGCACCTTGCTGGCTTGCTCAGGTGTCTAGGCACCTCCTCCCTTATGTTGCACAAGTCTCTAGCAGAGCTTTTTTTGATCCCCATTATCGGACCCAACTACTCGAAACCCTAAACCCTAAACCCTAAACCCTAGACGAAACCCTAAACCCTAGACGAGCCCCTGAACCCTAGATGATATGTGGCGCTAGTTAGACTAAACCCTAAACCCTAGAAGAGAAGGAAAACAATACAACGGCATAGATTGAAACCCTAAACCCTAGATCTAAACCCTAAAGGAAACCGTAAACCCTAGAGGAAACCCTAAACCCTAGAAGAAACCCTAAACCCTAGACAAAACCCTTGACGCAAACCCTAAACCCTCAATAATTAGGGTTTTATTAAAAGTTAGTGTTTTCGCTGTCAAATCGATATCGAAAACCCTAAACCCTAATTCAAAACCCTAAACCCTCATCCCTCTAAACCCTAAACCCTAAAAGCTGCTGTTGCAGAGGCCGCGAACGAAAGACGACCAAGAAGTAGGCAATTGTCTGCTGCGGAGTAGGGCCTTGTGTCTGCTGCTGCTGCTGCTGCTGCTGCTGCTGTTAGGTGCTGCTGCTGTTACAGTTGTGTCTTCTTGCTGCTCTAGCAGCAGCAGCGACTGCTGCTGCTGCTGCTGCTGCTGCCCGGTTAGATAGAGCTCTAGGGGGTCTTCTGTCTCGTAGTCAACTAGGTCGTCTAAGAAGCTTGTTTCCTCTTCGCTGCTGCTGTCGTGCTGCTGCTGCTGCTGTTGCTGCTGCTCCAGTTGCTGCTGCAGCTCGCGTTGTATGCCGTTGCTGTCTGCTGCTGCTAGCAGCAGCTGCAGGCGTTCTGCCGACTCCCCCAGACCAGCAACTTGCTGCTGCACTGCAGCAGCAAGCTCAGTCGTGCTGCTGATGCTGCTGCTGCTGCCGTTGCCGCTGCATACCTTGAGGAGCTGTGCTGCAGCATCAGCAGCAAGGAGGAAGACACCCCGTGCTGCTGCTGCTGTTGCCTTTGCTCCTTCCCATTTGCTGCTGGCAGCAGTGAGGTACCGCAGCAAAGCAGCACTTGGCTTGCTGCTTTGCTGCTGGTGCTGCTGCTCCTGCTCCTGCTGCAGGGAAACCAGCTGCAGCGTATCGTAGCAGTATCCGTAAGTAAACGTGGCCAGCTGCTGCAGCAGCAGCAGCAACTGCAGCAGCTGTTGCAGCAACCTTTCGCTGAAGCAGCTCTCATTTCCCTCCGTCTGCTGCTGCAATTGCTGCTGCTGCTGCTGCAGTAGCAGCAGCGGCTGCTGCTGCAGCTCTCTCGGGAGATCTTCTAAGGCAATAAAGGCGAAGCGGAGACCCCCAAGTAAACTGCAGCAAACGGTGCTGCTGCTGTGGCTGCTGCTGCCGACAGATGCAACCGCAGCAGCAGCTGCTGCTGCAGCAGCAGCAGCCACTGCTGTTGCTGCCTTTGTAAGGGAGCCTAAGACCTGCAGCAGCAGAGGAGCTGCAGCAGCAGGCAGCAGGGAGCAGCGGGAAGCAGCTAAACCAAAGACAGTAGGCAGCTTTGCTGCTGCTGTTCTTTGCATGCGGTGCTGCAGCAGCAGCAGCAGCAGATGACGGTAAAGGCTGTGCTGCTCTAGCTGCCTAGACAGCTGAGGACCTGCAATAACAATAGCTGCGTTCCTGCTGCTGCTGCACCTACTGTTGCTGCTGCAGCTGCTTTCCTCAGCGCCGCTGCTGTCGCTGTAGTTGCTCCTGCTGCTGCTGTTGCTGCTGTTCCTACTGCTGCTGCTGCTGCACTCGGGGCTGCTGCTCCTCTCGCGCCGGCCCTCTCTACGCCAATTGCTGCTGGTGTCTGTCCTTCCGTCTGCGTCTGCTGCTTCTGCTGCTGCTGCTCCTTGAGGTGCCTCTGATGCTGCAGCAGCAGCAGCTGCTGCTGCTGCAGCTGTTTTGCTGCTGCTGCTGCCTCCCGGCAGCAGCAGGTCAATGCATGCGTCCTCAAAGCTGTCAATACACCGCACAGCCCTCCTGCAACTGCTACTGCTGCTGCTGCTGCAGCAGCTGCGCAGCAAAAACAGCAACTGCATAGACACCTGGATGCCTCTTAGCACTGAGCACTGCTGTTGCTGCTGCTGCTGTTGCTTGCTGCTCCCAGGAGCAGCAGCAGCAGCAGCATCTGCAGCAGCAACTGTTACTGCTGCACTTGTCTTCTCTGGGTCCAGTTGCTGCACCGTAGCAGCAGAAGCAGTAGAAGCAGCAGCAGCCTTTTCTGCTGCTGCACATGAGCAGCAAGAGCTGCTGCTGCAGCGATATATGCAAGGCAACTCCATGAAACAATCAGCCGGCAGCAGCTCTTGCTGCTGTTGTTGTTGCTGCTGCTGTTGCTGCTGCTGCTGCTGCATTTGCTGCTGCTCAGAGGCTTGCAACCAACTAAAAAATTCAACTCGACGGGGGAGTCGGATACGGCGCTGCTGCTGCTGCTGCTGCTGCTGCTGCTGCTGTATTTGGTGCTGCTGGTGCTTCTGCTGCATTTGCTGCTGTGCCTCGGTGTCGCAGCCACCCCTATCCAAGGTGCCTGCTGCTGCTGCTGTTGCTGCTGTTGCTGCTGATTCTACTCCTTTGCGCAGATGACGCAATCCATGGTGTTGTTGCTGCTGCTGCTCTTGCTGCTGCTGCAGCAGCAAAGTTGTTAAGAACTGCTGCCTGTCTTGCTGCTGCAGGAAGCAGCAAAGGATACGAAAGGCAGCAAATCGACAGAGGCGATGCACAAAGGACAATAACCCAAAAGTGCTGCTGCTGCTGCTGCTGCTGCTGCTGTTGCTGCTGCTGCTACTACTGTTTCTGCTGCTGTTGTTGCACTCGTTGCTGCCACTTTCACCGCTGCTGCTGCTGTTGCTGCTGCTGCTCAATGCTTGCCTTTGCGTCATCGACAGCAAGTGTCGAAGGTGCAGCAGGGAAGGATTTTGCTGCTGCTGCTGCAGCAGCAGCAGCAACCGGGAGAGCAAAAAGCTGCGGTACTCGTAAACCTGCTGTCGGCGGCAGCAGCTCATGCTGCTATTGCTGCTGCTGCTGCAGCAGCAGGAACAACAAACCAGACACCGATCTCGTTGCTGCAGCGGCTGCTGCTGCTGCTGCTGCTGCGGGCGAGCAGCAGGACAGGCTTCTAAAGGGAAGAAGGTGTCCGATTGAATCTCCCGCCACAGCAGCAGCACTACGGTGTACATACACCCCGCATGATGTGCAGCAGCAGCAGCACAAGCAGCAGCAGCACCTCCTGCAGTTGATGCAGCTGCTGCTGCAGTGTGGTGCTGCCAGCCGCGAGGCAGCAGCCAGTCAACTTCTTGCTGCATGCTGCGCCCCAGCAGCAGGTGCTGCAGCATCAGCTGTTGTTGCTGTTGTTGCTGCTGCTGCTGTTGCTGCTGCTGCTGCTGCTCTGAGGCAGGCACTAAGCAATTGACACATGCTGCAAGAAAACTCACAGCGCTGCTGTCATTGCTGCTGCTGCTGCTGTTGTTGTTGTTGCTGCTGCTGCTGCTGTCGATTATTTGGTCCTTGAGCGGAGAAAGGAAATGCTTACCAGCATGCAGCCCGGCTGCTGCTGCTGCTGCTGCTACTGCTGCTGCTGCCTCTGTTGTTGTTGGCAGCAACCCATGAGATGGACAGCTCCTGATTGTCTGCTGCTGCTGCTGCTGCTGCTGCTGCTGCTTCCGAATTTGATACATATGCAGCAAAGCCATAGGAAGCAACGGTTGCGTTGCAGCTGCGGCTGCTGCTGCATGCAGCGCAATAGGTGCAGGGAGAAGAGTATCCATCTGCTGCTGTTGCTGCTGCTGTTGCTGCTGCTGTTGCTGTAGTAGAAGCCTACACCAGTCAACGTAGCAGCAGCAGCTAGCAACCAATGTGACCTCTCGCGGCTGCTGCTGCTGTTGTTGTTGCTGCTGCAGCAAGGCTGCAGCAGGGAGCACCAGGACGCAAGAGGCCGGGTAACTGCTGCTGCTGCTGCTGCTTCTGCTGCTGATCAATGATGGCAACCGCTGTTCGCGCCGCAGCAGCAGCAGCAGCAGCAACGGAAGCATTGGACAATCGTTCTTGCTGCACTGCTGCAGCACATCTGCTGCTGCCTGCTGCAGCTCCGGTTGAATCTGCTGTTGCTTATCTGAACTGCTGCTGCTGCTGTTGCTGTTACTGCTGCTGCTGCCTCCGTTGATGTTCAACAGAAGCAAGACGGCACGCTCTAGTGGCCCTCGTGCTGCTGCTGCTGCACCTGCTGCTGCTGCAGCTGCTGTTATCCTTCGAGCTGCAGTGCATGCAGCATGCGATGCATCTCTGGTTAATCGATCTAGTATTTGCTGCTGCAGTTGCTGCTGCATTTGCTGCTGCCCTTGGTGCCCGCCTGCAGCAGCAGCCGTGGTAGCAAAAGCAGCAGCAGCAGCAGCTCCTGCAGAGCCAGCAACAGCAGCAGCAGCAGAAGCAAACTTAATTGCTGTGTGCTTTGTTGCTGCATTCGCTGCCCATTCCTTTACTGCCTGCAGCAAGAACCGCAGCTGCCGCTGCTGCTGCTGCTGCTGCCTCTCCTCCTGCTGCCATTTGCTGCTGTTGCTGTTGCTGTTGTCGTTGCTTCTGCTGCTGCTACCGTTGCTGCTGCTGCTTAGGTGGCGAAGGAGGCAGCAGCGTCTCGCTGCTGCCCACGATGCAACTGCACCAAGCAGCAGCAGCAGCAGCTGCTGCTGCTGAGCAGCAGGGAGCTCCCGCTGCTGCAGCGTGAGTTGCTTCTGCTGCTGCTGCGGCCGAAGGTTGTTGAGGACGCAGCACAACTGCATGAATTGCTGGAGCCGGCGCCCCTTCCCTCTTGTGCTGCTGCTGCTGCTGTTGCTGCGGCTGCTGCTGCTGTTCCCGGCAGCAGCAGCAAAGCTCTCCCTCAGTTTTTGTGCCTGCTTAAGAAGATAGGCAGCAAATTGCTGCAGCAACCGCGCCGAGTTGCCTTGCTGCTGCTGCTGCTGCTGGCGATGCTGTCGTCTCAGCAGCTTTACCAGCTCCGCCTCATCTGCTGCTTCCTCAGCAGCAGCAGCAGCAGCAGCAGGCGATAGCTGCTGCAGCAAGAACCCCGACAGCAGCAGCAAAGGCCAGAAGGGAATTGTTAAAGATTTACAAAGATACTCATAAGGACATTTCTGCATGCGGCAGACCCCACACCGCTGCTGCCGCTGCTGCTGCTGCTGCTGCTGCTGCTGCTTGTGTCGCTGCTGCTGCCGCCGATGAGGATCAACAGACACGCAGCAGCACAACTCAAGCAACTGCAGCAGCACGCGGTGCTGCTGTAGCAAGCCTTGCTGCAGTTGTGGTCGCTGCAGCAGCTCGAGCAGCAGCAGCAACAGCAGCAGCGGGGACACTCTATTGTGCCGCCGCTGCAGTCTGCTGTTGCTGCTGCTGCTGCTGCGGATGTTTTGCTGCTCAAATGCCATTGCCACGTACTGCAGGAACGATGCATCCTGCTGCTGCTGCAGCTCGAGTAGTAGACCTTGCTGCTGCTGCTGCTGTTGCTGCTGCTGTGGATTCGGTTCCGCCACTGCAGTAGCAGCAAGCAGCACTTCTGCTGCTGCTCCTGTACTTGAACGCATGCATCCCCGCAGCAGCAGCACCAGTGCATGCTGAATGGAGGCCTCTGCTGCTGCAGCTGCTGCTGGAGGTGAAAGATATGCTGCTGCTTTGCCGGGGACAGCAGCAATAGCAGCAGCAGCAGCAGCTGCTGCTGCTGCTGCAGATCGTGCTGCAGCAACCACACGCAGCAGCTGCAACGGGCTGCTGCAGCTGCTGCAATTCGCGATGGCCTCTTCCACTGAAAACAACGCAAACCCTAAACCCTAAACCCTAAACCCTAATTAATAAACCCTAAACCCTAAACCCTAAATACTAAACCCTAGAGATTACACGGTATTAACAACGGCATTGCGGCTGCAGTTCAGGTATTAATCCTAGGGTTTAGGGTTTAGGGTTTAGGGTTTAGCACTTACGAAGGTTAGGAGAGTGCAGCACAAGCTGCTGCTGCAGTCGTCCTAGCCATAGAGGAACTGCAGCAGGAACCTGCAGCAGCAGCTGCTGCTTCTGCTGCTGCTGCAGTTGCTCCAACTGCTCCTGCTGCTGTAGCAGCAGCAAGTGCTGCGTGTCCTCATCACAGGATTCTGCTGCTGCTGCTGCTGCTGACAGCAGCCTACCTGCTTCCTTTTTTACCTGCTTTGCTGCAGCAGCAGTACGAATTCTTGCTGCTGTTGCTGCTCGGTGTCGCCTACCTAGGCGCTGCCTGTTCCTATGCAGCCGTCTTCGCCGCTGCTGCTCCTGCTGCTGCTCCTGCTGCTGGAGCTCCTGTTGCTGTTGCTGCTGCTGGAATTGTTGCTGCTGCTCGCCATCAGGTGACGGATCGACCTGCAGCAGTAACGGTTCTTGCTGCTGTTGCTGCTGCCGTCGGTGCTGCTGTTGCTGCAGTTCTAGTGCAGCAGCAGTACCCGTCGTTCTATTGTCATCATCATCAGCAGCAGCAGCAGCAGGTGCTGCTGCTGCTGCTGCTGCCGCTTCAGAAGCAGCACTTGCATGCGAAGGAGACCCATCTATGTTATCATCTGAAGCCTCAGGTGCTTCGCTGCTGCTGCTGCTGCCGCTGCTGCTGCTGCTGCCACTGCTGCTGCTCCCGCTGCTGTGGCGGCCCCTGTAGTTGCGTCTACCTTTTGTACTGTTGCTGCTGTCTTCGCTGCTGCTGTTGCTGCTGCTGCTGCTACTCTTGTGTCGGTGGAGGTGAGCGTCTCGCCCAAAGTGTTGGAGTCTGCTGCTGCTGCTGCAACTGCTGCTGCAACTGCTGCTGCTGCTGCTGCTGCTGCTGCTGCTGCTGCTGCTGCTGCTGCTGCTGCTTCTGTTGACGACATTATTGTCGCTTGCGCTTCCGTCTTCGCTGGTGCTGCTGCTGCTGTTGCTGCTTCTGCTGCTTGCGCTGCTGCTCCTGCTTTCGCTGCAGCGGCTGCTCCTACCAGCGACCACATTGCTGCTGCTGCTGCTGTCGCTGTTGCTGCTGCTCTCCCCATTACTATCGTCGCTCCAGCCCCTGCTACTGCTGCTGTAGCTGCTGCTGCATCTCCTCACTCTAGTGCTAGGGAACAGCTGCTGCTGCTGCTGCTGTTCCCATGCATGCGGGTGCTGCAGCTCATTCGTGTAGGGAGGCAGCTGCAGCGCAACGTGCTGCTGCAGCTGCTGCTGCTGCTGCAGCTGCTCCTGCAGCAGCAGCTCAAAGGGAACGACGACAGGCCCTCGCTGGTGGCGGCTGGGCAAACTGCTGCGGCTGCTGCTGCGGCTGCTGCTGCTGCTATTGTATAGACAATTGTAGCTGTTGCTGCTGCTGCTGCTGCTGCTTCTCGTAGGCTCAAAGACTTGTTGTTGCTGCTGCTGCTGCCCTCCGATGCGCTGCTTCTTAGGTGTGTGCTCCTGCCACAGCTGCTGCTGCTGGTGGTGCAGCTGCTGCAGAGAAGCAGCAGCAACAGAAGCAGCAGCAGCAGCAGCGCAACCTTGAGTGTTTTGTTGTCCATAGAGCAGTACATTTTCTTGCTGCTGCTGCAACAGCTGCTGCTGTTGCAGCTGGTGGTGTTGATCAAAGGCGCAGATGCTACTACTACTGCTGCTGCTGCTGCTGCTGCCACTCTTTAGGGGAGAGAGCCTCTGCAGCTCTTCGTTCTCCAGCAGCAGCTGCTGCAGCAGGCGTTCTTGTGAGCGAATCTGCTGCTGCTGCTGCCTCACTTGCTGCAGCAGCAGCAAGCGCTCTTCTTCGTACGGTTGTCCGGGGTTATCATGCTGCTGCTGTTGCTGTTGCAGTTCCTTTTGCTGTTGTTGCTGCTGCTGCTGCTGCAGTGTTTCCCTCTGCTGCTGCTCTTTTTGCTGCAGCCGGCGCTGTGGGGTTCGTGTTGCATGCAAGTCAAGGGGGAGAGGTGACCTCATGCTGCTGCTGCAGTTGCTGCTGCTGCTGCTGCAGTTGCTGCTGCTGCTGCAGTTGCTGCTGCAGTTGAAGCTCCTGATGCAGCTGTCTCTGCAGCTGCAGCTGTTGCTGCTGATGCTGATATACTTGCTGCTACTACCAGCCAATAACGCTATGGAATGTCGGCACTGCAGCAACAGCAGCAGCAGCAGCAGCAGCAGCCGCTGCAGCCGAAACACCAGCACTCCCTCACCAGCGCTCCCTGTGCTGCAATTTCTCTTACCCAAACCCTAAACCCCAAACCCTAAACCCTAAACCCTTATTTATAAACACCTGCTGCTTAGTCGTCTATACCCTGTACTGTACCTGCATGCACGGGGGGCCCCTGCAGTGTGGTGGGGTTGGTGGTGGTGACGCAAACCCTAAACCCTAAACCACAAACCCGAAACCCTAAACACTAAACCCTAAACCCTAAACCCTAAAAACTTATATTATTTTAATATTTTTATTGAGGTAAATTAGAAGTTACTTCGAAGGGTTTGGGAGAAGACAGAAAACCCTAGCCAAGGGCTGCTGAGACTGGGCTACCAAACCCTAAACCCTAAACCCTAAACCCTAACACTTACTCCTTAGCAATAAATAATAAGTGGCTAGTGTATCCTTTCTAGCAGGAAGGCTGCTCTGCTGACAGAATCTCAAAACCCTAAACCCTAAACCCTAAACCGCACAGACAAGCCTCTGCTGCGCTACAGCAGCAGCAGCAGCAGCAGCATATACGCAGCAGCAAACAATGCAGCAGCTTGTAACAGTTTGTGCTGCTGCAGCAGGGACAACAGCAACCAAACCCTAAACCCTACACCGTATATGTAAACCCTTGAACAGTACGCGTAACTTCTCCCCTACAAGCCATAAACACTAACCTGCAAACCCTAAACTGCTAACACTAAACCCTAAACCCTAAACCCTAGACTGCAAACCCTAAACCCTCCGATGTATCGACCCCACTACTGACAATAGCGAGAGAAAATAGAGGTTTGTTGCTCTGTGCATGCATATGAGCAGCATTTGCTGCTTAAGTTGCTGCAGCAGCTGCTGCAGTCTCTGCAGCAGCAGCAGCTGCTGCTGCTGCACTTGCTGCAGCAACAGCTGCTGCTAGTGCAAAAAAAAACAAAAGTATATTTAATAAATTATACAAGTAAATATATATTTATATTTATATACAAATAAATGTATTAATTAATTAATTATATTTATTTATATATTTATTTATATATATTTATTTATATTTATATATATAATTAATTAGTATAATATTTATTAATATAAAAAAAACGGATTAATTATACAATGAATATATAATAAAATAAATAACTTATTTATTTATTTATTTATTTATTTATTTATTTATTTATTTATTTTATTTATTTATTTATTTTATTTATATAAGAAGAATAATTAACTAATTGGTTTTTTATGTATGTATTTATCTGCTGCTTTTAATCCTTTTGTCTTCTTTTTTTGACGCTGCTGCTGCTCGTGCTGCTGCTCGTGCTGCTGCTCGTGCTGTTGCTCGTGCTGTTGCTCGTGCTGCTGCTCCTCCTGCTGCTGCTGATTATAATCTGCTGCAGCAGCAGCAGCAGATGCATCTTTCACGCGATTCTTCTTTTTTGGCCGTTCTTGCTGCTGCTGCTGCTGCACTTCTTCCTCCTGCTGCTGCTGCTGCTGCTGCTGCGGATTATAATCTGCTGCTGATGCTGCTGCTGCTGCAGCAGATGAATCCTTCACGCGGTTCTTCTTCTTCTTTGGCCGTTCTTGCTGCTGCTGCTGCTGCAGCCCTTCTTCCTCCCCCTGCTGCTGCGGACTATAATCTGCTGCTGCTGCTGCAGCAGATGCATCCTTCACGCGGTGCGTCTTCTTTTTTGGCCGTTCTTGCTGCTGCTGCTGCTGCACTTCTCCCTCCTCCTGCTGCTGCTGCTGCGGATTATAATCTGCTGCTGCTGCAGCAGATGCATCCTTCACGCGGTGCTTCTTCTTTTTTGGCCGTTCTTGCTGCTGTTGCTGCAGCACTTCTTCGTCCTGTTGCTGCTGCTGCTGCTGCAGCTCTTCTGTAGGCTCCTGCTCATATTCGTGCTGCTGCAGCAAATCGTTTTGCTGCTGCAGTGTATCGTCTTCTGCTGCAGCAGCAGGTGCTGCAGCATCTGCTGCTGCAGCATCTGCTGCCTTCAAGCGGATTGCCTTCTTCTTTTGGCGCTCTTGCTGTTGTTGCTGCTGCTGCAGCAGCAGCAACAACTTTTGCCTCTTTTTCCTGCTGCTGCTGAGTGGCCCTTGAGGTGCCTCCGGCCGCGGCAGCCGGTGCTTCTTGCTTTTCACTGCAGCAGCAGCAGCAGCAGCAGCACCATCTTCTGCTGCTGCTGCTGATGTCATTGTTGTCGCTGCTGCTGTTGTTGCTGCAATGGAAGCATATGCTGCTGTTGCTGCTACTGCTGCTGCTGCCTTTTTCTTTTTGTGCTTTGGTGCAGATCCTGGATAGGAAGGCAATTGCTGTTGCTCCTGCTGCTGCTGTTGCTCCTGCTGCTGCTGTTGCTGCTGCTGCTCCCATGCTGCCGTGCTGCTTCTATGTTTGCGCCTTTTATCTTTGCTGCGTCTCTCGGGTGTACATACAGCAACAGCAGCAGCAGAAATACCTGCTACTGCTGTTGTTGCTGCTGCTGCTGTGTCCGAGTCGTCAGCGTCTGACGTGTCTCCTAGCTGCTGCTGCTGCTGCAGCTGCTGCAGCAGCAACTCTCTTTGGGCATCCTCGCCGTGCTGTTCTGCATGCAGCAACAAGTTGGGCACCTCTCTGTCTTCATCAATTGAACTTAAATCAGCAGCGTCTGCTGCTGCTGCTGCTGCTGCTGGCAGCACTTCATTGTCCTCCTCGCTGCTGCTGCTGCTGTCGCTGCTGCTGCTGCTGCTGTCGCCGCTGCTGTATACCTTCCAGCCCTCTGGTGCTGCTGCTTCAGGGAAGATCAGCAACTCCTCTATTTCCTTCTTTACCTTCAGCTGCTGCTGCTCCTGCTGCTGCTGTTCTTGCTGTTGCTGCTGCTGCTCCTGCTGCTTGCTTCGCCTCCTCATTCGGAGGTTGTTCTCAAGCTCTTGTTGCTGTTGCTGCTGATGCAGCAGTTGCTCCTGCTGAATTTGGAGTTGCTGCTGCTCTTGCTGCTGCTGCAGCTGCTGCTGCTGCTCCAGTTCCTCCTCCGCCTTCTGCTGCAGCAGCTTAGATGCTCTCCGCCGCTGCCGCTGCTCTCTCTTTAGTGCCTTCTGCTGCAGACGCGTCTCTTCATCCATCGCAGCAGCAGCAGCAGCAGGTACCTCCGAGGCAGCAGCAACAGAAGAAGCAGCAGGATAAGTAGTAGCAAACAGCTGTTGGTGCTGCTGCTGTTGCTGCTGCTGCCGTTGCTGCTGCTCGTCATCACTGTACCGCTGCCGCTTCACCTTTGCAGTCTTCGGCATCCGCTGCTGCTGCTGCTGCTGTGGATGCTGCGTAGAACCAGCAGCAGCAGCAGCAGCAGAGGCAACAGGAAGAAAAGCAGCGCCAGCAGCAGGAGCAGCACCAAGTTGTCCATGATTAATCTCGTTGCTGCTGCGCTGCTGCATGCGCTGCTCAAGGTTAAGCAGCATCAGCTGCTGCTGCTGCAGCATTTCTTGTGTCTTTAATATTGTTTGCTGCATCTGCAGCAGCTGCAGCTGCAGCAGCTGCTTCTCCCTAGAGTTGCTTCTGCTGCTGCTGCTACTGCTGCTGCTGCTGCTGCGTCGCTTCCTGCGGCGGCGCCGTCGAGGTGCTGCTTCCGACGACGGAGATCGCGAGGCATGTGTTGCTGCAGTGTCTGCTGCTGTTGCAGTAGCAGCAGGTGCTGCTGCTACTGCTGGTGCTGCTTCTACTGCAGCTGTCGGCCTCATGGAAGAGTCTTCCGCGCCAGATGTGATTTGCTGCAGCTGCTGCTGCGGCTGCTGTTGCTGCAGCTGTTGCGGTGGTTGCTGTAGCTGCTGCTGCAGCTGCTGTTGCGGCTGCTGCAGCTGCTGTTGCGGCTGTTGTTGCACCTGTTGTTGTGGCTGTTGCTGCAACTGCTGTTGCGGCTGTTGCTGCGGCTGTTGCTGCGGCTGTTGCTGCGGCTGTTGCTGCTGTTGTTGTTGTTGCTGCTGTTGTTGTTGCGGTTGTTGCTGCTGTTGTTGCTGTTGTTGTTGCTGCTGCTGCTGCTGCAGCTGCCTTCTTTGCAGCAGAAAATACGGTCCTTCATCATCATCCTCTTGCTGCTGCAGCAGCAGCAGGTGCTGCTGCTGCTGCTGCTGCTGCCAGTCTGCATCACAACTGGCAGTAACTGTGTGGCGTCGATGCATGCGCCTTGTCAGCTGCCGCTGCAGCGATTCTTGCTGCTGATGCTGCTCTTCTTCTTCCTCCTCCTCTTTCTGCGCGTGCCCAAGCACTGCACGTGCGCTAGAGCGGCCTTTTAGGCCCTGCTGCTGCTGCTGCTGCTCCTGCTGCTGCTGCTGCTGCTCGCTGCTAGGCAGCAGTTTGAATTGCGAGGATGGATTCGTTGTGCTGCAGCTCGCAGCAATAAGCGGAGGAGACAGACAATCTGCTGCTGCTGCTGCTGCTGCTGTTGGTGCTGCTGCTGGCAGCGGCGGGGAAGTATCAACATGACATGTAATAAGAGGAGACCCAGGAGGAGGCCTGTAGCTGCTATGCTGCAGCAGGGCCTGCAGCCTGCTGCCGCTGCTGCTGCTCTGCTGCCGCAGCAGCTGCAGCTGCTCAGAAGACGGCAGCACACTAACCGATGAAGAATCCAAAGACACCTCCTGCACAAAAAATAATAAACCCTAAACCCTAAACCCTAAACCCTAAACCCTTGAGAGCCAACACACTGACAACGTAAACACTAAATTCTAAAGTTGTAGACGAGACTGTAAGAAACCCATCACAAACCCTAAACCCTAAACCCTAGTCTCGAAACCCTAAACCCTAAACCCTAAACCCTAACGAACCCCTGTGCTCTTTAAGTCGGAGAGGATCTGATCAGTAACAGCTTCACTAGAAGCAAGTAGATTTTCTGGCAGCTGCAGCAGCTGCTGCTGCTGCTGCGGCAGCAGCAGCTCGTCGTCGCTGCTGTCGCTGCCAGCACCAAAGAAAGAAGCTGCTGCATGGCGCTTCTTCATGTGCTTCCTCCTCTTTAAGAAGAATCGTTTGCTGTTGCTGCTGCTGTTGCGTTGCCGCTGCTGCTGCTGCTGATCATCGTAATCGGAGTTGCTGCTGCTACTGCTGCTGCTGCTGCTCCAATCTGGCAACCCCCCATCGTCGGTTTCTGTGTCGCTGCCTAAGTTGTTGGCATCATCATCGCTGTCTGCTGCTGCTGCTGCAGCCGCAGCAGCAGCAGCTGCTGCAGCCTCCGCTGCTGCTTCTGCTGCACCTGCCTGCGCGCGAGCCACTTCATCCGCCTGCTCTGCTGCTGCTGCTGCCGCGGCTGTTGCTGCTGCTGTCATTGCTGCTGCTGCTGCTGCTGATGCTTCTGCAGCACGGGCGCCTTGAGCCGTGTCGCTTGGAAGCAGCTTTGCTGCTTCCGCTGTTGCCTGCTCTGCTGCTGCTGCTGCGGCCGCTGCTGCTTCCGCTCGTGCTGCAGCAGCAGCAGCTGCTGCTGCTGCAGCCTTCACCGTGTCTCCTTCTGCTGCTGCCTTCGCAGAATCTGCAGCAGCTGCTGCTGCTTCAGCTCTCCCCTTTGCTGCCTGAGAAATGAACAGATTCCAAATCCTAAACCCTAAACCCTAAACCCTCGAGTCTGAAAGGCGAAGACCACGTCACTACCTGCTAATGCAGCTAAACCCTAAACCCTAGCAGTTGCTGCCTCATTATTGCTGCTGCTGCTGTATTTGCTGCTGCTGCTGCTTCTGCTGCTTACTTCTTTTGTGGCTTCAACGCAGTCAAATCCGGCGAAGTCTTCGATTGAAGTGTCGCCCATCTCCTAACAAAATATCCAAACCCTAAACCCTAAACCCTAAACCCTAAAACGCTAAACCCCAAGTTTCTGCTACATAATTTCAATTGGGCTCATATTACGGTTCAATGTTAACGATCTAGGGTTTAGGGTTTAGGGTTGAGGGTTTAGGTTTTTTACCTCTGATTCTTCCTGCTGTTGTACCTCTTCTTTCTTCTCAGATGTCAGCTCCCCTCCTCCATGCTGCTGCTGCTGCTGCTGTTGTTGCTGCTGCTGCTGTTCTTGCTCCGGCAGCTGCTGATCCTGTTGCTGTGGCTGCTGTTGTTGCTGCTGCTCCGCCGGCGACTCGATGCAGGGCCCCTGCAAAAGAAAAACCCAAACCCTAAACACTAAACCCTCAAACCCTAAACCCTCAAACCCTAAACCATAAACCCCAAACCCTAAAACGCCAAAACCCTGAGAACCCTAAACCCTGCAAATACTCACTGGTGCATTTGTATAGACAGGAGAAAGGGGGCTGCTAGCCGCAGTTTCTGCTGCTGCTGTTGTTGCTGCTGCTTCTGTTCCGCTGCTGCTACCAACCACCCCACAGGAAGTGCTGCTGCTGCTGCTGCTGCTGCTGCTGCTCCCTCCCTGCCACTGGTACAACAGCTGCTGCATCTCCTGCTGCAGTGTTTGGCACTTTTGCAGCACATATTCGATGTGTTGCTGCTGGTTGGGTTTGGTTTGCTGCTGCTGCTGATCTGGCTGCTGCAGCTCCTTGAGTTGCTGGTGTAGCTGCTGCTGCAGCTGTTCGAGCTCCTGCAGCAGCACCGTGACCTGCTTTATTTGGTGCTGTCTGTGCTGCTGCTGCTGCTGCTGCTGCTGCTCTGCTGCTGTTGCTACCTGCTTCCACTCCCTATATTTATTTGTTATAAATCTTTGCGAGTGCCGCAGCCTATAAGGATCAAAGGGGAAGAAAGAATCCAGGGGATCACTGTTGCTGCTGCTGCTGCTGCTGCTGTTGCTGTTGCTGCTGGTGGTGATGGTGGTGGGGACAGCAGGTGCTGGGCCTGGACTAAAAGGGTTTGGACTCATGGGGCTGTACGGTAGCTCCTCGTCCTGCTGCTGCTGTTGCTGCTGTTGCGGTTGTTGTTGCTGCTGCTGCTCATTCGGTGAGAGAGGAGAGAGGATATCATCCGCGGTTTCTTCCCGATCGTTTGCTGCTGCTGCCGCTGCTGCTGCACCTGCTGCTCCTGCTGTAGGAGTCGTCGGTGCAGCACCGCCTGCAGCAGCAGGCACCGCTTTTGCTGCTGCAGCCCTCTGCTGTTGTTGTTGTTGTTGCTGCTGCTTGTGGTGCAGCAACACAGTAGCAAGATAGGGTTCTAAGGATGGGAACAAACCAACACGTTTGCATGCAGCAGCAAACTGGCGAACAATGCCGCGCTTAAGGTGCTGCAGCGGCTGCAGCAGCAGCAGCAAAGAAGGAAGATCAAAGGGGGGCAGCAACAAGAAATGTAGTTTGCTGCACACCAGCAAATTATCTAACCAGAAGCAAAGGGCATAACAGAGACACTGCACTGCTGTCCGCAGCAAGGCAAAAGGAGACTCTCCATTCTCCGCTGCAGCAGCAGCAACAGCAGCAGCAACAGCAGCAATAGCAGACACAACAGACACAGAAGCAATACACACATACAATATCAGAAGCAAATTCGTCATAGACGCAGCAGCAGCAGCAGCAGGAGCGGATACAACAGCAACGCAAACAACAGCAGAAGCAGCAGCAGCAGCAGCAGCAGCAACAGCAGCAATAGCAACCGCAGCAAAAGCAGCAGGAGGAGACAATGTGTTCTTAGGGAATAGCAACAGCTGGTGCAACTAGGGTTTAGGGTTTACCTAGTTCTCCCATAAAGGAGCGCTGCAGCAAACGCATGCGCTGCTGCTGCTGCTGCGGAGGGGCAGATCCAGTCCTTAAGAAACCGCGGTGCAGCAGCAGCAGCAGCTGTTGCAGCGCAGCAGCAGCAATGCTAGGCGGTAGCGTCCGCGATCGGCATAAAAAGGAAGCAATGTAGCAGCAAGCTGCTCGGCGCTGCAGCGACAACAGCAACAGCAGCAAGAACAGCAGCAACAGCAGCAGCAGCAGCAGCAGCAGCAGCAGCAGCAAAATACAGAAAGTGTACATGAGGGGTTTAGTATAATGGGTCACTAGACAGCCCTTCCTTCCTCCTTTCCTCTCGATGTGAGTGTTTAGGGTTTACGGTTTAGGGTTTAGGGTTTATTGCTTACGAGTCTAATATTTCTTTGTCTGCTAGCTAGCAGCAAGAAGAGTTGCTGCAGCAGCAACTCTGCATATTTAATATCCGTAGATGCAACAAAGAAAGCAGCAAATTGGGTGTATCGGCAGCTAGGTACAGGCAGCACAACACGAAGGAAGGCATCGAAGACATCTGCAGCAAGAGAATCTGCTGCTGCTGCTCCTGGTGGTCCTCCTGGTGCTGCTGCTCCTGCTGCAGTTGCTGCTGTTGCTGCTGCTGCGTTATCAGCAGGAGATAATATGGGTGAGTCATCGGCACAGGGGGAGTAATCTGCATTGATTCTGCTTCTTTCTACAGCAGCAAAAGCTGCTGTTGCTGCTGCTGCTGGAGGTGCAGCAGCAGCAGCAGCAGCAACAGCAGCAGCAGCAGCAGCAGATTTGCCACGAGGCAGCAGCAGACGAGACTTAAGGAAGGAGAATAATTGCAACATTAAACAATCTAATGTCCTAGCCATACAATCTATATCTTCCTCACTACGTACACGACAATATAATTCCTGCAGCAGCTGCTGTTGCTGCTGCAGCAGCTGCTGCACCGTCTCTAACCCTACAGATCCTTGCTGCAGCTGCAGAGATAACTCGGCTAATTGTTCACGCTGAACAAAAAACCAAAAACACATATAAACCCTAAACCCTAAACCCTCATACCCCTAAACCCTAAAACAATTTCCAAACCCTAAACCCTCAAAACCCTACAAACCCTCGATGGAAACACACACCACACCCTAAACCCTAAACCCTAAATTGTAAAACAAGTCCAAAACATCCACTCAAGAGAATAACCAGCCACATCTAAACCCTAAACCCTAAACCCTAAACCCTATACCCTCGTGGTGTGTGCACCTTCCATGCACTGAGTTGCTCTGCATCAACAGAGTTTGGATCTTTTTGTTTTATCTCGGAATCAATTGACGCCATACGCGAAAAAAGAAGACGCCAAAGGGGACCACGAAGCTGCACAACAAAACAAATTAGGGTTTAGGGTTTAGGGTTTAGGGTTTATTTTGAGGAAGGAAGGAAATACTTCAATTGGTTCGTAGGGTTTCTTTCCATCAACATTCCTCAGCCTAGTAAATACCCCACAATCTAGTGTCTATATTATTTAGGGTTTATATATTAGGGTTTAGGGCTTAGAAATTAGGGTTTAGGGTTTAGGGTTTACGGCGGGTATATTATGCGCTAGCCAGAGTAGCGACTTAGCAAACTCTGCATGCATTTCTGGTGTTTGTTTAGGCGGAGGCATTGCTTTCTTTAGACCCTCAAATATATAACTCACGGCACTAGGGAAGGCAGAAGCTAGCTGCAGCACAATACATACACATACACAGCTAGCTAGCTAGCTATCCAGGTGGCTAGCTGGGCAGCTAAGTAGGTAGGTAGGTAGGTAGCCAGCCTCCTAGGAAGATGCCCAGCTAGCTATCCAACCAGGTATCCACCCAGCTAACCACCAAGCTACATATCCAGCTAGCTAGCTACCTACCTACCTACCTATCCAGCTAGCTACCTACCTACCTCCCTAGCTAGCTAGCTAGCTAGCTAGGGTTTATACATACCTGCTGTATAGCTAGACAAGTAGCCCTTGCTGCCTTTGTATCAAGAGATAAAATATTTTCTACACAACGAACATAACTAAAATCTTCATCCTTCTCCCCTTTATTACGGCTAGCTAGCTGGTTAGCTAGCTGGTTAGCTAGCTGATTAGCTGACGGATTAGCTAGCTGGGTAGCTAGCTGGCTAGCTGCCTCTGCAGGAGGAGAAGAAGAGGCATCTAGACGGCGAACAAAGAATGTACGAGTTGAATGAAAACGAGGGTTTGGATGAGAACCAACATATATACCCATCATACCTGAAAAAACACAAACCCTAAACCCTAGAGACTAAACCCTAAACCCTAAACCCTAGAGACTAAACCCTAAACCCTAAAGGGTATATAGAGAATAAAGAATAAATGCAGACACTAGATCGTCAAAAACAAACCATGCATCCGTTTATAGAGAAGAAAACTAAATTTGTCCTTATTAAGGGGAACTTATTGTCTAGGGTTTAGGGTTTAGGGTTTAGGGTTTACCTCGGGTTTTAAACTTAGCACGAGGATGATAACGTAAGACAGCAGACACCAACTCCAAGTCTTCCCCTTCAAGGTCCTGACCCTCCTCTGCGCAAACCCTAAACCCTAAACCCTAAACCCTAAACCCTAAAGTCTCAACCCTAAACCCTCAACACTTGACGACGCAGCCACGAAAATAGCACAAAACCCTAGGACCCAGGGAATCCTACACTCCGAACGTCAAACCCTAAACCCTAAACCCTAAACCCTAAACCCTTACCTCCCAGCTGCAAGATGGCCCTCAGTTTCTGTTTGAGTGCGCGGCGGTTATGGAAGGCAAACCTCCCTACTCTCAGCCATCCGCTGCTGCTGCTGCTGCTGCTGTCTGCTGCTGCTGCATCTGCTGCACCGACAGCAGAGCTGCCGCTGCAGCCTATCCGCTCTCCCTTGCAGCTGCAAAAACGCCCAAACCCTAAACCCTAAACCCTAAACCCTAAACCCTAAATTGTATGAGTGTACGCTTTCTAGTTTTAGCAAGTAACAAAGGAAACCAAATAGACACATTTTTTGAGGGTTTAGGGTTTAGTATTTAGGGTTTAGGGTTTACGCTTCCTTAAGATGATGAACAAGACAATCTGCTGCTGTTGCTGCTCCTTCTCCTGCCCTTAATGCTAATATATCCAACATTAATGATGTAAATACAGCAGCATCTCCTGTTGCTGCTGCTGCTGTTGCTGTTGCTGCTGCTGCTGGTGTTGGTGCTGCTGCTGTTGTGCCAGCAGCAGCATCTGCTTCGTCGTCGTCAATGACTTCTCTCTCTACGACCACCCCTTTATCCTCACTGCTGCTGCTGCTGCTGCTGCTGCTGTTGCTGTTGCTGCTGCTGCTGGCAGCAGCAGCAGAAACGAAGTCAAAGTGCAGTAGGAAGTTCTCCATCTGCTGCTGCAGTTGCTGCGGCGGCAGTCTGCTGCTGCGCTGCAGCAGCCAGCTGCCGAGCTGCAGCACATTTGCGTTGCCTCCTAGCGCACTAGGAGGAGGCCCTGTTGCTGCTGCTGCTGCTGCTCGGTTGCTGCTGCTGCTGCTGTAGGTCATAAGAGGAGAAGTAGGAGATAGAGGGCTGCAATAAGAAGGAGACAAATAAGAAGAGCTAGATTGCTTTCCCCCTCCTCCTCCTGCTGCTGCTATTGCTGCTGCTGCTGCTGCTGCTACATTGGCGCGGCGAGGGGGAGGAGCAAAGGCAAGAGATGGGGAGAAAGGGGGAGTAGCAGGAGACACCAGCAGCGGCTGCTGCTGCTGCGGCTGCAGCAAGGAGGCATCAGGAGAAGATACAGGAGACACAGGGCTCTGCGGCTGCTGCTGCTGCTGCTGTTGCTGCTGCTGTTGCTGCTGCTGCTGTGTGTTTGTTAACAGAGGCCCTGTTGTATCTTCTGGAGGGAAAATAGCAAGACGGGGCAAACCCCTGTTGCTGCTGCTGCTGCTGCTGCTGTTGCTGCTGCTGCTGCTGCTGTTACTGCTGTTTCTTGCATTTGCCTCCTCGACAGAAGCCGGTAACAATGGGAAGTCGTCATAGCTGTTATTTAGCTGCTGCTGCTGCTGCTGCTGCTGCTGCTGCTGCTGTTGCCGGCCTTCTACAGGTGAGCCAGCAGCACTCTCACTAGCTGAAGATATTGGAGACGCTAATATATTTAAAAGATGCTGCTGCTGCTGCTGCTGCTGTTGTTGCTGCTGCTGCTGCAGCGGCGCCGGGCTGCAGCGCTGCAAGCCTAAAAAAGGCTGGCCGACACCAGTTGCTGCTGCTGCTGCACTTGGTGGTGCTGCTGCTGCTGCTGCTCCGGTGTGGTGGTCCTGCAGGATGGCCCCACGGCCGCCAGACCTATCTGGATACATTGTGCTGCTGCTGCTGTTGTTGTTGTTGTTGCTGCTGCTGCTGCTACTGCTGCCGCTGTTGCAGTATGAGACGCAGCAAGAGCAGCAAAATTTCAGCTGCTGCTGCTGCACCTGACGGGTTTGCACGGAGTACGCGCCATGGAGGCACTCGACCGTAAACCCTAAACACTAAACCCTAAACCCTAGCTAGGACTAGACGCTAGACCCTAGACCTGAACCCTAAACCCTAAACCCTAAACCCTAAATTATGGGTCCTATATTCAAATAAAGGAAATTTAATTAGTGTTTAGGGTCCGTCTTAGGCAGCAAATATCTTTCCCCTGCTGCATGCAGGACTCGAAGCCCTAAACCCTAAACCCTAGAGATAATAATCACTAGATTGTTTCCTCTTAATGCTAAACCCTAAAAATACAAAAAAAAGAATTGAAAATTTTGTGGGGAGGGTTTAGACAAGATCTCAACTATTCGTTGCATTACCCCCCATAAACCCTAGACCCTAAACCCTAGACCCTAGACCCTAAACCCTAAGGGTTAGTAGGAGACTGAAACCGGCTAGTAACTGCGCATAAACTTATTGATTAATGTAATCCGTATTCATATTAGGGTTTAGGGTTTAGGGTTTTTTGTTTGAGACTGCAAACCCTAGGCTACGATCCACCCCCCAAGCCTAACACTAAACCCTAAAACGTAGACACTAAACCCTCCTTCTAAACCCTAAACCCTAAGTACTCTTCCTTCTAAACCCTTAACCCTAAACCATTTAAATATAAATGCTTTTAATTCTTTTTTCTTTTATAGCAGCAAGAGGAGAAGGCGCTGCAGGTGTAGGCAGCAGCGACAGGCGAGTGCCACACAAGGGCAGATCCTTATACAGCTGTTCTGCTGCTGCTGCTGCACCTGCTGCTTCTGCTGCTGCTGCTGCTGCTGCTGCTGTGGGCGGTATGACTTTAGTTGCTGCTGCTGTTGAGGCAGAAGCAGGGGACAAGGCAGCAACAGCAGCTGGCTTTGCTGCTGCCTTTGCTGCTGCTGCTGCTGCGACTGCAGCAGCAGACTGGCCCTCTGCTCCTGCAGCAGCAGCAGCAGCAGAAGGACAAAGATCAGCAGCAGACAGGTAAAAAGGGAAACCTAATCTGCTTCTATCGTTACGAATGTGTAGAGAGACCCTGCTGTTGCTGCTGCCAATAAACACATCTGCAGCAGCAGCAGCAGCCCACTCCGCAAGTGCTGCTGCTCCTGGATGCATGCGCAGCAGCAGCAGCAAACGGCGGCCTAGCGCCCGCTCCAGAACCACCTCCTCCTCTTCTTCCTGCTGCTGCTGCAGCAGCAGCCTCGCTAGTGCATGCAAAGCAACTTCCATATCAAAGAAATACAATTTGGGTATTGCTGCTGTTGCTGCTCCTCCTGCTGCTGTTGCTGCTGCTGCGGCAGCAGCAGCAGCAGCAGCAAAGCTATCTGCTAGCTCCTTTCGATCTTCTGGCGATGCGTCTGTACACACGAGTACCTGCAGCAGCAACAGCAGCAGCAAAAAACAAACAGCAGCAGCATGAGCAGCAGCAGCAGCAGCAGCAGTATGCTCAGCCTGTGACACTTCCTGGCTACGCTCTGCAGTTAGCAGATGAGGGTTTAGGGTTTAGGGTTTACTGCGGGGGTTTGGGCCCGATTGGCGAGCAGCAGCAGCAACTCTGCTGCAGCAGCAGAGTTTGCTGCTAAACCAATCCTTATAAAATCTGAACGACGCCAGTGTGCTGACACAAAAGGAATTGCTGCTGCTGCTGCTGCTGCTGCTGTTGCTGCTGCTGCTGCTATTGGCTCCGCTGTAGACGCTGCTGCTGATGCTGCAGCTACAGACAGTGCGGCGCCACCGGTATTGCTGCTGCAGGTGCTGCTATCGTTGCTGCTGCTGCTGCTGCTGCACTTGCCCTCAGCATGGCTGCTGTTGCTGCTGTTGCTGCTGCTGCTACTGCTGCTGCTGAGCATATGGAGGAGGAAGGCGTCTCCTATTGCTTGTATTTTAGGGTGTACGTAAACCCCAAACCCTAAACCCCAATTCTCTGCTTCGTCGGGAAAAGGAGGGACGATAGAGTCTGCGTGCTGCGCACAAACCCTAAACCCTAAACCCTAAACCCTAAGTATCCATTATCAAACCCTAAACCCTAAACCCTAAAATGCACTACAAGTGCCATCAATGCCTAAGGCGTAAGAACGAATTCTGAACTCTCAAGCCACAACAGCCCCAGCCCTAAACCCTAAACCCTAAACCCTAAACCCTTGCCTTCAAGATAATGAGTTCTTTGTCAGCTGCTGCTGCAGGGAGGCACCGCGCGAGAGTCCATGTTGTAGGGAGAGACGACTCGATGCAGACCTGCACAAACCCTAAACCCTAAACCCTAAACTCTAAACCCTAAACCCTAAACCCTAAACCCTAGAAGCCCTCAGTTAAGCAACTCACAGCTCTCTCTGCTTTTAGCGGATTACAGAACCCTCCAAGCCAAAAGAACAACGAATCTTGCTGCTGCCGCCGCTGCTGCTGCTGCTGCTGCATGTACACCTGGCGAGCGGTCCGCTGCTGCTCCGTCACAAGACCAAAGGAGGGGCATGCAGCAGCAGCAACAACAGAACACGGAAGCCCTCCAGGTGCTGCTGCTGCTGCTGCTGCTTTGTACTGCATCACAATGACAGTTTCCACCTGCAGATATCACAGCAGCAGCAACAACAGCAACAGCAACAGGGATAGCAGCAGCAGCAGGAGCAACAGCAGCAGCACACGGACAGAGAGAAGTATCTTATCCACGCGTAGCAGCACCAACTTAATAAAAACAAACGCAGCAACAGCAACAGCAACAGAAACAGCAACAGCAGCAACAGCAACAGCAGAAACAGCAACAGCAGCAGCAGCAGCAGCAGCAGCAAACCTGATGTCTCTCATATTGATGGAGAGCAGCAAAGTCATCATATTCAATAACAGGCAGCAGCTGCTGCAGTTGCTGCAGCAGCAGCAACTCCCCCCAGGAGACACGGCGAGGACCCTTTAGCTGCCAATGCTGCAGCATACACCAGGGGGGCAGCACCAGCACATACACTGTCTGCTGCTGTTGCTGCTGCTGCTGTTGCTGCTGCTGCTGTTGCTGCTGCTGGTCGAGGTTGAGGCGCTGCAGCGAGAGGGCCATGCGCACCACCACTTCCTTCTGAAGCTGCAGCAACAGCAGCAACAGCAGCAGCAGCAGCAGAAATAGCAGCAACAATAACAACACGGACGGAGCAATCCAACAGATTAGGGGAGATGGGGAAGTCCTAGGCCGATGAGGGTTTAGGGTTTAGGATTTAGGGTTTGGCGTACATTAAAACCCTCGCCGTTTCTCACGTCATACAAAACAAAAACAAAACGCTTGCTGCTGCAAAGCCTGCTGCTGTTCCTGCTGCTGCTGCTGCTGTTGCTGTTGCTGCTGCTGATGCTGCTTCTGCAGCAGGTCTTGCTGCTGCTTGCTAGTGATGAGAGGTGCCTAGAGAGCTCGCCATAGGACGCGCAGCTGGCTGCATATGCTGCTGCATCTGCTGCTGCATCTGCTGCTACTGCTGCTACAGCAACAGCAGCAAACAGGGCAGCAGCAAGCAGCAGCCGCCGCGGGAGTCGCAGCAGCAGCTCTTGCTGCCGAAACGGCGCCGTCTGCAGCTGCATCTGCCGCTGCTGCTGCATCTGCTGCTGCTGCTGCTGTTGCCGCTGTGGCTGTTACTGTCCCAGTTGCTGTATTACTGCTGCTTCTGCTGCTGTTGCTGCTGCTGCTGCTGCTGCAGGAGCAACACCTGCAGCTGCTGCTTTCGAGACAGCGCTCGCTGCAGTCGTCGGCGTTCGACTAGGGTAGTGACCACATGTCCTAAACCCTAAACCCTAAACCCTAAATATGAAACCCTAAACCCTAAATACTAAATACCATCCTTCGAAGTAAACCCTAAACCCTCAATCAGTCATATTTACCCTGACCCGTTGAGTTCGTTGTCTCTAGAGCTGTCGGCAGCCGACTAAACCCTAAACCCTAGACCCTAAATATTAATCCCAAATCCTAAACCCTAAATCCTAAACCCTAATTTATTGTGTATTCCTATTAAAGTTAATGTAAACCCCGAATTAATAACAAAACCCTCACGGAGGTCTGCCTTGGGGCTGGTGCTCGCGAGACCCGTTGACTCAACTCCGTAAAACCTAAACCCTAAACCCTAAACCCTAAACACCAAATGCAGCATCATCAGTTACACTCTCCGAGACGAATAAGTGATATTCTTCTCATCTTAAACGCTAGGACCCTAAACCCTAAACCCTAAACCCTAAACACTAATCGGGGGGTCCTATAGCGTCAGCCACGAACCCTAAACAACAAACCCTAAACACTACAGTCACTAAACACCTAAAACCCTCAATCCTATACCTCAACTGCAATATGTAACAGCTCAAACCCTAGGCAACCCTAAACCCTAAACCCTAAAAGGACATGGAGTACCCGTGCCTGCCGCAGCAAATCCTCTCTCGACCCCGTTCCCAACTAGGGTTTATGGATTAGGGTTTACAGCTGGCATGGAGTGACCTTCTAGGGTTTAGGGCTTGGGGGAAGGGGGGAGGGGGGGGGTCCGCAAGTACCTGTTAGTCATAATCCTCACACCGTAAAGTACTATTAAACCTAAACCCTAAACCCTAAAAGCGAACATAGAAGAAGCAAACTGCTTCGCAGTCTATTACCTACCTGTACAAATCAGTAGGTGTGTAACTGCAGCAACAGCAGCACTTGCTGCTGCTGCTGCTGCTGCTGCTGCACGTGCTGCAGCAGCTGTTCCAAGCAAAGTTAGCACTGTGGTTCGTGTGAAACCCTAAACCCCAATTTAGGGTTTAGGGTTTATAAGAGGCACGTGTATCTAGCATCACCTGCCAGACCGAGCCGGTACAAACTAGCCCAAACCCTAGCGACCTGTTTAGGGTTTAGGGTTTATTAGGGTTTAGGGTTTAGGCTTGAGCTTGAGCTGTAAACCACTGAACCCCCGCTAGCTGCAACTTATTTGCTGCAGCAAAATCCATTGCTCGTACAATTCCTCCCCATCTTCCTCTGCTGCTGTTGCCTGGTAGCTGCTGCAGCAGCAAACGCTGCTCCTCCTGCTGCTGCTGCTCCTGCTGACGCTTCTCCTGCTGCTGCTGTTGCCCATTGTGCCCATGCTGCTTCTGCTGCTGCTGATCATCTAGAGAAGCAACAAACAGCAGCAAGACGTAACGGTGGAGGCCGGTGCCCTTAGGAGGCGTAGGAGGTCTGTACGGGACTGAGGACAAACCCTAAACCCTAAACCCTAAAACCCTAAACCCTAAACCCTCACGAATAAACCCTAAAGCCTAAACCATCACCCTGAACCCTCGCGAACAAACCCTAAGCCTTACGTAAAACCCGGTAAAACCTTGAACTGCCAAACCCTAATCCCTAACTCCCAAATCCTAAACCCTAAATAAGAAACACAAACCCTAAACCCTAAACCCTTACGTGGACTGTCCGAGCTTGCATCGAAGCGATTTGTTGAGCTGATGGCCACCCAATGTGCCCATTCACGATATACAGGATCGTCACTGCAGCACAAACCCTAAACCCTAAACCCTTGATCCTAACACTGAGGGGATGCAGCTCTAACCCTTTAGTTCCAAACCCTACAGCGTCAACATAAATTCGGGTCGAAATCCATAGACACCTATAAACCCTAAACCCTAATTCCCAAACCCTAAACCCTAATTCCCAAACCCTAAACCCTAATCACCTTGAAGGGGCATCAGGGTCTGTCAAAGCAAGAACAAATCTTGTATTTGTTGAGGGTTTAGAGGAAATTAATACAACAGGAGGGTTTTGTGTCTGGTGTACAGCCACCTCCGAACCCCAACCAGCTGTATGGCCATCAAACGAAACCTTTAGCTGCAGAAAAGCACAAACCCTAAACCCTAAACCCTAAACCGTATATTATATTCAATAAAAAGATGTCCTGCCTCTCCTTAATACAAACCCTAAACACTAAACAGCAAAACCCTAAGTAATAAACCATAAACGCCAAACCCTAAACCCTAAACCCCAATCACATGCGCTGCATATTCAGGCACGGACCCTTTACGCCACACCCAAACCCCTAAACTCTCGACACGATATACAGAAGCAGCAGCAGCAACAGCAGCAGCAACAGCAACGGCAACAGCAGCAGCAGCAAACCTGTAGATGGAGGGTTTTGCACTCCCTAACTGTGATAACATCGGGCACAATTCGCGACCTCTCCAACGCCGCACAATCAACTTTTGGCTGCTGCTGCTGCTGCTGCTGCTGCTGCTGCTCCTGCGGTTGCTGCTGCTGCTGCTGCTCCTGGGGTTGCTGCTTCTGCTGGTCAGGTTGCTGTAGTTGTTGCTGATTTTCTGGCTGCTGCTGCGGTTGCTGCTGAGGTTGTTCCTGCTGCTGCTGACCTTGCGGCTGCTGCTGCGGTTCCTGCTGCAGCTGCTGCTGTGGCTGCTGTTGTGACTGTGGCTGCTGCTGCTGCTCATCAGCGAAGGCACATGAAACAATGCAGAGTGCTGCTGCTGCTGCAAGCAGCAGCGGGTGGCGCCAAAGCGGACGCATTGCGCCTTCTAGGGTTTAGGGTTTAGGGTTTAGGGTTTGAGCCGGAAGAGGCTCTAGATTGCAATGGTGCGCAGCAGCTACCTGCGAAGGTGCTTCTGCACACACACACAAATAAACAAATAAACAATAAACCCTAAACCCTCAACCGTAAACCCTAAATGCTGCCTGGGAACGCAACTCCCAGGATAGAAGACACCCTGTGCCGACGCCCTGGTGAATCGCTCAAGGGATTAGGGTTTAGGGTTTAGGGTTCAAGGGTTGTCTCCACGGACTCAATAAACCACTAATGAACAGGAAGAACTAAATCAAATTATAATTAAACTGAATCATCTGCTGCTGCAGCAGCAGGAGCAGCAGGAGCAGGAGCAGCAGGAGCAACAGCAGCAGCAGCTAGCGACTGTCGCCGCGATTGATCTCGGGCCCCACATACCCTTAACCTAACTACCTGACTCTAAACCCTAAACCCTAAACCCTAAACCCTTAATCGAAAACATTAGACCATAAACCCTATACCCTGTCGCTTTCCATCTCCCACCGATGGCATCTAGACACATCGGTAGATTTAAACCCTAAACCGTAAACCCTAAACCCTAAGCCCTAAACCCTAAACCCTAGGTCTTCGTCCCCTAGCCCTAAACCCTCAGGCGCAATTAAATCGTCCTTTAGCTTTTTCTGACGAACTTTGCAGAGTTGCTGCTAAAGACATAGGAGGCCCCAAGCAGCAGCAGCAAGAACAACAACAACGACAGCAGCAGCAGCAGCACAACAACAGCAGCAGCAGCAACAGAAACAGCAACAAATCAGCACCAGCGGCAGCATCACTGAAGCGTTGCATCTGTTGCTGTTGCTGCGCGTTCTCCAGCGATTGCTGCAGCAGCAGCAGCTGTTGTTGCTGCTGCTGCTGCTGTTGGGGGGTGTTACTGGCGTGCGTCTAGGGCCTCTTCGAGAATCTGCTGCTGCAGCGGCAGCAGCAGCTGTTGCTGCTGCTGCTGCATGCAGGACAGCAGCATTTCTCGGTGGGCAGGTGCAACCGCCCTGTGGCCCCAGAGGGTTCTTCAGCAGCGGCAGCAGCAATAGCAGCAGCAGCAGCAGCAGCAGGATGCAGCCGCAGCTTGACAGCTTTGATGCCTTTTCCTTCGGTGCTTCACAGCCAATGCCTCCGAGGGGGCGTAAACGGCAAACCCCGTGCAGCAGCAGCAGCAGCAGCAGCAGCAATGGCAGCAGCAGCAATGACGCCAGCAGCAGCAGCGACAAAAAGAGCAACAGAAGCAGCAGTGTCCAACCTATTAGGGTAGAAGTAAAAAGAGAAAAAACGCATGTGAAGGAAGAGCAGCAGCAGCAGCAGCAGCAGCCGCAGCCGCAGTTGCTGCAGCAGCAGCTGCTGCTGCAGCAGCAACAGCAGGAGCGAGACCTGAGAGCGAAACGGCGAAGCAGTTCAGGTCCACTGCAGCAGCAGCAAAGCAAAGCAACAGTAGCAGCAGCAGCAGCAAAGGGCTGCAAGTCGGAACCAAAGGTAAAAGAAGAAGAGGCAGCAGCAAAAATAGCATCAACACCTGCAGCAGCAGCAGACGCAGCAGCAGCAGCAGGCGCAGCAGCAGCAGACACCAAGTCCAGCGACTCGGAGGAAGAGACCCAACTTGTGCCTATTGGAAAACCAAAGGGCCGCAACCGCAGCAACGGCAGCAGCAGCAGCAACAAGAGCAGTAGCAGCAGCAGCAGCAGCAGCAACAGCACCAGCTGCAGCACAGGACCAACAAAACCTCCGCCTGCAAACTTCGACAAAGTATGGGAGGCAATCTGCAAGATGCGAGAAAAGGTAAACCCTAAACCCTAAACCCTAAACGCCAAACCCTAAACCCTAAACGCCAAACCCTAAACCCTAAACCCTAGGGTTTGCAGTGTTGTGCTGCAGCGAGACGCACCTGTTGACTCAATGGGCGTAGAGGCACAAACAGGGAAAGACGAGAAAGAAAGAGTGAGAACCCTAAACCCTAAACCCTAAACCCTAGAAGGAAGCCAACTCATACAGCGTCCCTTTTAGTGGATTTGTTCGTTATGTCCAAACCCTTTAGGGTTTAGGGTTTATGTGTGCAACTTTTTGCAGTATGAGTGGCAGTGATGTTATCTATCCTATGACCTAGGGTTTAGGGTTTAGGGTTTATGTATTCAGAGGTTTGCTGTATTAGTAGCAGTTATGTTATCTAGCCAAACAAAGGATGAACAAACGCATGCATGCGTAGAGAGGCTAAGAAGTAACGGATTGCTAAACCCTCATGCTCTTGCTGCATGCGATACTGGTAAACCCTAAACCCTAAACCCTAAACCCTGAAACCATCCTTGTGTCTAAACCCTAAAAGAGCAACAGGCCCCTTGTAAACCCTAGAACAAGCACCGATTAAAGTTGAATGCGAAACCCTAAACCCTCCATACTCCGGTGGCTGCTGTGTTTGTAGGGTTTAGGGTTTAGGGTTTAGGGTTTGGATATGTGTGCAGAAAAGTTACGGGGTTTATTATTTGGTGTGGGGTTTCATAACAATAAGACAACCTTCCTTAAGGCAGCAGCAGAAACCCTAATCGCTAAACATGGAGGAGAGGTACCCCAAACCCTCGAGGATTTAATGGAGTTAAAAGGAGTAGGAAGAAAAATGGCGAATATAGTTATGCATGCTGTACGTAAACCCTATATAAACCCTATATATACCCTAACCCATATAAACCCTAGAAAGGCATGACGTGTTGTATTTACACACCCCGATACCCTAAACCCGCAAACGTACAGACTGACGCAGAGACTAGAGGGAATGTGCTCTCTAGAAACAAGGTTTTAGGGTTTAGGGTTTAGGGTTTAGCCTAGGGTTTAGGGTTTGACTTCGCAGGCTTGGAATTCTTTCCATGGTATTGCAGTGGACGTGCACGTACACCGCATCAGTAACAGGTAAACCCTAGCAAACCCTAATTCCTCTGTAAACCCTAAACCCTAGTTGCTTAGCGGTTGCAGCATACGCGTGCTGTAGGACTAAGGGTTTAGGGTTTAGGGTTTGTTGCAGACTTGGATGGGCCAAGACGAAAACGCCACAAGAAACAGAAATTGCCCTTGAAGACTGTATTCCACGGTGCGGCAAACCCTAAACCCTAAACCCTAAACCCTAAAGCGTACTTGCAGCTGGACTAGGCCGAGTGCTTGGATCAGACTCTTCCCTGCTCCTGTCGCTGAGGGTTTAGAGTTTAGTGTTTAGGGTCTGCTCAGGCAACACTGGGAAGATGTTAATCTTTTGCTTGTTGGCTTCGGGCAGCAAATCTGCAAACCTGTAAACCCTGCGGTAAACCCTAAACCCTAAACACTAAACCTTAGCGTTTACATAAACCCTAAACCCTATGCGCACTATTTACTGCCATAAACCCTGCCACTACTGGCCGGCATTCAGAAGGGTCTTGCTAGGATTTAGGGTTTAGTAATTAGGGTTTAGTGTTTAATAATTAGGGTTTAGGGTTTGGTGTTTGTTTGCAGTGTGCTGTCTGCCTTGCGCGGCAGTATTGCCCTGTTGGTCGCAAACTTCGTGTTCCTCGTATCTCCCCTGAAGAAGAGCCTAAACCCTAAACCCTAAACCCTAAACCCTCTTAACCCTACGGGGTGAACAAAAAGTGTTTTTGAGCCGTTTGTTTTGTCGCTTGGCTTCTTGTCGGCTCACAGCCGTAAACCCTAAACCCTAATTTGGTAGGGTTTAGGGTTTGTAGGCTGTAGGGTCACCAAACAAGTGGGAATCTTTTACAAAACCCTAAACCCTTTTTACTGCTAATTGCCCAAGGGTTTAGGGTTTAGTCAGGGGCTAGTTCCCTATCAAAGCGGTGCTCCAGCAGCTGCTGCAGCAAAGTTGCTGCTCCAACAGTAACCCCAGGGATACGCAGCAGCTGCTGCATTGAGTAAAGGCTGACATCTCCCAGTGTACGTACTTCGCACTGCAGCAGCAAAAGCAGCAGCAGCAGGAGAGCAGCAGCATAAGGAAAGGCAGCATGCATAGAGGCAACACTGCAGCAGTAGTAGATGCTGCAGCAGCTACCAACGAAGCAGCGATACAATACACCGTAGAAGCACCGCTAGTGCAGCAGCAACAGCAGCAGCAGCAGCAACAGCAGCAGAAGTAGCTTACCTCATGGAGACCCTTTAGAGCCTGTGGAGGCAAACCTAAATCCTCCAGCAGCACATCATCAGGGTTGCCTCCTGCCTGTTCTTGCTGCTGCTGCTGCACCTGTTGCTGCAGCTGCTGCAGTTGCTGCATCAGCTGCTGCTCTTGCGTCTGTTCTTCCTTCTGCTCTTGCTGTTGCTCTCCCTGCTGCTCCTGTTGATGCTCCTGCTGCTCGTGTTGCTGGCCAGCTTCCTGCTGCTGGTCTTGCTGCTGCTCGGGCTGCTGCTGCTGCTGCAGTTGTTGCCGCAGCCAGGCTTCAGGGAGCAGTTCAGGAGGCTGGCAAAGAAAAGGGCATTAGGGTGTACGAAGGTTTACTAGGGTTTAGAAGGGTTTAGGGTTTAGAGTTTAGGATACATGTGGGGGTTTAGGGTTTAGGATATATGTGGTGTAGGGTTTAGGCTTTCTGAGGGTTTATGAGGGTTTGTTTTCGGGCAATCAACGCTTTAGGGTTTATGAGGGTTTAAAGTAGGGTTTGCAAGGAAGCTAGGGTTTGTGAGGGTTTGGATTAGGGTTTACCGGAGGAGCAGTCATAGGAAACGAGGGTTTAGATTCCTCATCAGGGCTTGCAGGCAACAGTTGACCTCGGGGCCCCAAGATATAGAGAGGGGGCCCCCCCTTTATTTCTTGTTGTCTTTCTTCTTCTCGGTGTTTAGATATTTTCTCCCAACCCTCTGCACATAAACCCTAAACCCTAGGGGGGGTGGATGGGAGTAGATCGCACTCTAGGGTTTAGGGTTTATAATTGGTGTTTGGTCGTGTTTAGGGTTTCTGCGAGGGCTTATAATAATCAGGGTTTACGATTAGGGTTTATATTGTTGTGTATATGCAGCTTGGTGTATACCGACCGTGAGACTGCAGGGTTTGGTGGGTTTGAAATTAGGGTTTAGGGTTTAGGGTTTATATGAGGGTTTATAATACCTTTAAGCATCCTTTCTTCTTCCTCATAATTATTATTTTCTTCTAATTGTCTTTTTGCTGCCTTTGTTGCTTCTTCTATCTCTAATAATGCATGCAGCAACACCTCCTTGGGGGTATTCTTAGGAGAAGACCAAATCTCTACTACTAGTTGCTCCTTAGGATCAGGACACTCCATACGCCTGCACACAAACCCTAAACCCTAAACCCTAAACCCTCACGCACAGGTGGCATGGCTGCACAGAAAGGGAAAAACAACAAAGAGTGACGACCACCAAACCCTAGACCCTTTTCACGACGGAGGCCTAAACCCTAAACCCCTGTTAACAGTAAAACCCCTGTAAACCCAAACCCCCAACACAATATGGCTACTTAACCCTAATACAAAACCCCACAAGCAGAAAGGGATACGGTCTATAGGCTTAAGGGTTTAGGGTTTAGGGTTTACTCGTGACACCAACGCGTGCCCATGAGCTTGTGGACAGCAATACGCATTCTATGGCAGGGGCTGAAGCAGCAGCTGGTTGGGTACATCTCCAGCTCCTGCTGCTGCTGCATTTGCTGCTGCTGCACTTGCTGCTGCTGCTGCTGCTGCTGTTTGACAGGAGGGGGCGATAAGTGTTTGCGTTTGAATAGGCGGTAGGTAAACCCTTCCTCTTCACGGTAGAGGCCTGCAGCACGAGCATAAACGCTAAACCCTAAACCCTAAACTTTAGCTCTAAACCCTAATTAGGTGTTTCTCCTATTTAAAACCCTAAGCGCTTGTCAGTTGTACGAAGACGCGGCAGGCATGCAGGGTCCGCGGCAGTTGAGGGTTTAGGGTTTAGTGCTAATGGTTGTTTTCCCTTATGTAAGGGTTTAGGGGCATCGTAGGGTTTAGTGTTTCTGGGATGTATTGTTTCCTAGGGTTTAGGATTTGTAGGGTTTGTAGGGTTTAGGGTTTACCATCAAGATCAGCAAGCCATAGCCCTCTATTCCATTCAACTTGGAAATCGAAGCAAACCCTAGCATTAGGGTTTAGGGTACAAATATAATGTTCTTTATTATAACATTTAAGGAAAGAAGGAAAAGATAAATGTCCTCCTAATAATTTTAGTGGTCCTTTTGCTCTTACTCTTATTCGTGTACGTAGGAAGGGAATAGACGAACGTAACGCCAACTGTACACAAACCCTAAACCCTAAACCCTAGATAATACATTCCAAGTCGTAAACCCTAAACCCCAGGAACTGAGTAACCAATAAAAAGCTACTCTGTAGAGTTCTATTAGGGTTTAGGGTTTAGGGTTTGGCTTACCCCTTTAAGATTAAGAGCAAGCTCTATAAGATCCTCCCTCATCCCTGGTACAGAATGTGCCCCTTGATACCTGCCGCATCGGGTCCTCTCCGGTGCTGCTGCTTCTGCTGCCGCTGCTGCTGCTGCTGCTGTTTCCTTTGGTGCTGCAGCAGCCTGTAGAGCAGCAATTGCTTCTCTTCTTTCAGCTATTCCATGATGCTCCTTCCTGCTGCTGCTGCCACCCTCCCCTCCAGCAGCAGCAGCAGCAGCGGCAGCATCATGAGTATCTGGATGGTGCAGATACACCCCAGTTACTGCATGCCCAGGACCACGATGTAAGGCAAAACTTTTTATTAATGAGCCTAATGTCCATCCTCCTCCTAATGGCAATGGGCCTATATATAATTTTTGATAGTATTCACCTATACACAAACCCTAAACCCTAAACCCTAAACCCTAGTATATAAACCCTAACCCATAGTACATAAACCCTAGTAGTTAAAATAGTGCAACTCAAACACTCATAAACACTAAACCCCAGTTACCGCTGCAGAGCGGCAATCCCCCTCAGCAAACGCTCTAGGGTTTAGGGTTTAGGGTTTAGGGTTTGGAGGTACCCGTCTGGGGAACAATGGTGAGGTTTGTTGCTTCTGTCACTTGCAGAGTAAATGTAGGGTCCCAAGAAGGCCAATCCTGCAGCAGCAGCAGCAGCAGCAGCAGCAGCAACAGAAGTAGCAGCAGTAGCAGCAACAACAATGAGGTGCATAAGCAGCAGAGAACCTGACACCACCAACAAAAGCAAGAGCAAGTTCAGCAACAACAGCAGCAGCAACAGCAGCAGCAACAGCAACAGCAACAGCAACAGCAGCAGCAGCAACAGCAGCAGCAGCAGCATTACCTCGAAGATACGGGCATCTCCATATCCAAGACCAAGACGATCTCTTTCTGGTTCCCAATCTCCTCGTAGCTGAATAGGAGGAAATATTCCTTCATCTTTCTTGCTGCTGCTGCTGCTGTCGCTGCTGCTGCTGTCGCTGCTGCCGTCGCTGCTGCTGCTGTCGCTGCTGCTGCTGCTGGGCTCGGGAATGTTATAAATTGCAGGGTCTAAGACAGTTTGGTTAAATAACTCCATATATAGAGGATAATGACGCCAATCCGATGACTGCAAACACCAAACCCTAAACCCTAAACCCTAAACCCTAATTAGCAGTATTGTGCAGACCTCGCGTGCTAAATAAAAGCGTCAAATTTGAGGGTTTAGGGTTAATTGCCATCAGCCCAACTGCATCTTAGGTTTTATCCATGTGGAGTAGCTACATGCTAGCACCTATTGTATGGTCTAGGGTTTAGGGTTTAGGGTTTAGGGTTTACAATACAACGAGTCTCGCTCCAATACTTTAATGGTAGACGAGGAAGTGGTGGTTCTTCAAGAGGTCTTATAGTACGAATATTAGGAACTGTTGGTATACCGAAATCCTCCCAGCACCCTATACATAAACCCTAAACCCTAAACCCTAAACCCTAATAAACCCTAGTAAACCCTAATAAACCCTAATTAGTGTTTAATGGATAGATACTTATTCTCCTACATAGTGATTCATCTATCGTATAACAGACTAAAACTCTGCCGATGGTTTGGCTAACCCCTAGACTTTAGGGTTTAGGGTTTAGGGTTTATGAGGGTTTAGGGTTTATGAGGGTTTAGGGTTTATGAGGGTTTAGGGTTTACCTCGATTAGCAAGATGCCAATTACGGAAATGTGTTAAGGGTTTATTGGATGTAAATCCGTACTTATTTAACACTAATAATTCATCATTTGTTATTTGTTGGTGTAAATTAGGGTTTGGTCTTGGCTCCTCCATATACTCAAACCCTAATGGATTCAAACCACGACGATATAATGTTGTAGACAATTTCTCGCTGCTGCTGCTGCTGCTGCTGCTGCTGCTGTTGTCGTTGCTGCTGCTGTTGTCGTTGCTGCTGCTGCTGCTGTCGTTAATGCTGCTGGTGGTGTCGTTGTTGCTGCTGGTGTCGTTGCTGATGCTGCTGCTGCTGCTGGTGGGAGGGGGAGGGGGAGTGGTAGCAGCGCTACCTTTACTGCCCCGGACTCCCCGTTTGCTGCTGCTGCTGCTGCTGCTGCTGCTGCGGGAAGATCTGCTGGAGGCTGTGCGGGCATTCTTGCTGCTGCTGCTGCTCTTGCTGCTTTTTCTGCTGCTGCTCTTGCTGTTGCTGCTTCTTGTATCTGTAGTATCCCCTGTGTCACTTGCTGAGGCATATTGACGGAAGTATATTGGCCTTTGCTGCTGTCGTGCTGCTTCTGCTGCTGTTGTTGTTGTTGCTGCTGCTGCTGAGTGTGGCGACAGCAGAAAAGCGGGAGACTTAGACTTTACTGCTGCTGCTGCTGCTGAATTCTGCTTCCATGACAGTGACCAGCTGCTGCGGCTGCTGCTGCCCAGCAGCAGCTCGCCATTGCAGCAGCAGCAGCAGCAGCAGAAGTAAAAGAATGCTGCTGCCCCTTTGAGCCGCATTCCCCCAAACCCTAAACCCCAAACCCTAGACGCTTTGCTCCATATCACATTGGAGAGCTAGGGTTTAGGGTTTAGGGTATTATGCGGTAGACATCATCCATAGCAGGCGCACCGCCCGCTAGGGAGCTCAGCCCTACGGTTTAGGGTTTAGGGTTTAGGATTTAGGGCTTGGGGATTGGTGTTATCTTGCGTAGAGAAAGTCTAGAAGTACACCAGGGGGGTTAGGGTTTAGGGTTTAGGGTTTAGGGTTTAGGGTCTTAGGGAACTGCCGACCAAGGGTTTGGGCTTAGTAGAGGGGAGCAGCAGGAAGAAACTTAATATGCAGATATTAAGAACATAAATTGTAGTATTTAGGGTTTAGGATTTGTAGTGTTTAGGGTTTAGAGTTTAGGGTCTAGGGTCTAGGGTCTAGGGTAGGTCCTGGCTCGAGACTTGTCGGCGGTGAGGCCCTCAGGGGCCCCGCAGCAGCAGCAGCAGCAGCTGCTGCTGCTGCAGTTGTTGCTGCTGTGGCATAAACAGCAACTAGGAGTTATAACTTTTTCTTCTTTAATAAACTTTAGCTGCTAAACCCTAAACCCTAAACCCTAATTTGCATGCATTTGTCCATTAGTTTTCCTCGAAGGTTGCTGCTGCTCCAGATGCATGCATCTCCGCTGTGGGGCCGTGCTGCTGTTGCTGCTGCTGCTGTCCCTGCTGCTGCAGTTAAGAGATCCTTTGCTGCAGCAAGCATATTGTGACTGCTCTCCTCTGTAGAGGCGTCTTCTAACGCAAGCAGCAGCAGCAGCAGCAGCAGCAGCGGGATCAGCTGCGGCAGCAGCACATCTGCTGCTGCTGCTGCATAGCGAAACTTTACAGGAGCAGCAGCAACAGCAGCAGCATAATACAGGGTTTAGTGCCTGAAGATGGCAGGAGGCAAAGGCAAGCGTGCTGCTGCTGCTGGCAGCAGCAGCAGCAGCAGCAGCAGCGCGAATCCATTTGATGTTATGAGCAATAAACAACCAAAGAGGAAGATTTTAGGTCTTAAAGTAAAAGGAGCAGAGAGGGACCTCACTAAGGTAAACCCTAAACCCTAAACCCTAAACCCTAATTTTCTTTGGATTCCTTTATTGGGACACTTTGCCGTGTAGTTCAGGGTTTAGGGTTTAGGGTTTGATTGCTTGTGTGCAGACTGTTACATTCGTGGATCCAAACAAGAGCAGCAGCAGCAGCAGCAGCAGCAGCGGCATTCGCGATGAGCGTCTGTACCGTGGTGACGGCAGCAGCAGCAGCAGCAGGTCAGCAGGAGTAGCAGCAGCAGCAGCAGCAACAGCAAAGCGTACACAGGGAAGCAATCGTGCAGCAGCAATAGCAGCAGCAGATGCAGAGGAGTTAATGTTTGCTCGTTTAGTGTTGCTTCGTCAGCAGCAGCAGCGTCTGCTGCGGCAGCAGCAGCAGCAGCAGCAGAAGCAGCGCAAAAGGAAGAAAAAATCTTTTGTCTTAGAAGACGAAGAAGGAGAAGAAAATATATATGATGATGAATTAGGGGATGGAGCTGAGGATACACCTGAATCTGCTGCTGCTGCTGCAGCAGCAGCAGAAGGAGGTACAGCAGCAGCAGCAAGAGATTTAGATCTGCTGCTGCATAAAGGGAAACCAATTGCAGAGATGGGGGACGAAGAACTTCGTGCTTCTGCTGCTGCTCTTGTTATGCAGAAACAGGCAGCAGAAGAAGATACAGGAGAACAACAAAGTAAACCCTAAACCCTAAACCCTAAACCCTTATTAGGGTTTCATCTATATACTTTACACCGGCCTCGTCTTAGCAGTCCCACCATAGCCTATAAGCGAGCTATGATCTAGGGTCTAGGATCCACCGTTTAGGGTTTAGGGTTTTGGGGGTTTAGGGTTTAGGGTTTAGGGTTTAGGGTTTGTGTACAGTGTTGGAGGGGGATTTATTTTTTTCTGGTGGTTCTTCTGACGCCCCTAAAAGTCGTAGAGAAATTCTTAAAGAAATTATTTCTAAGAGTAAAGAGGCTAAGGCACAGGTAAACCCTAAACCCTAATTCCTAAACCCTAATTCCTAAACCCTAATTCAGAAACCCTAATTTCTAAACCCTAGCTTTAGTGGGCGGCGAGCAGGTAGATATGAGCTTAGCCGCAAACCCTAAACCCTCTCTAAATCGAAATTTGCTGGGGTTTCTTGAGGGCACCGTTTTCTAGTGATTAGGGTTTAGGGTTTAGGGTTTGATTGATTGCTGCAGCACGCACGAGAAGCAGAAGAGCAGCAGCAGCTGCTGCAGCAACTCGAGCTGCAGTTTGCTGCAGTAAGAGAAGTCTTACCTTACGCTAAAACCAAGGACAAAGGACCGTAAGTGTTTAGGGTTTAGGGTTTAGGGTTTAGGGTCTGGGGTTTAGAGTTCGGGGTTTAGGGTTAGCTAGAAGTGATGCAGAAGTAGGGTTTAGGGTTTAGGGTTTAGGGTTTAGTGTTTACGGCGTTTCAGGAGTCTTGAGGACCTGCTGAAAAAGTACTCAAAGGAGGGGGGGAGTAAGGAGGACGAGTCAAGCAAGGAGCAGCAGCAGCAGCAGCAGCAGCAGCAGCAGCAGCAGGAAGAGAAGCCGTCGCTATTTGGTTTTCTTAAGAAGAGCAGCAGCAGCAGCAGCAGCAGCAGCAGCAAGGCCCCTTTGCTGCTTCTAGACAACGACGACAGCAGCAGCAGCAGCGATGCAGCAGCAGGATCTGCTACAAAGCCAGCATCATCATCTAGAGCAGCAGCAGCAATGGAAGCAGCAGCAGCAGCAGCAGCAGAATATGATAGAGCAGCAGCAATACTACGATTTGTTCCTCGTGTTGCAGCAGGAGAGAAATTATTAACAGAAGAAGAATTAAAAGAAAGAGCAAGAAAGAAGTTAATTAATCAGCAAAAGAAGCAGCAGATGCTGCTGCAGCAAGAAGAAAAACAAGGTAATATATATAATAATTAGGGTTTAGGGTTTAGGGTTTAGGGTTTAAATGCTACAGACGCGAAAAAAAATGGCCGATTTAGGGTCTAGGGTTTAGGGTTTAGGGTTTAGGGTTTGGGGTTTACTGTGCAGAAGAGGAAGAGATGATGAAAGACGAAGAAGGGTTTTGGGGTAACACAGAAGAGACTGCTGCTCCTAGCGGCAGCAACAGCAGCAGCAGCAGCAGCAGCGGCAGCGAGAGTGGCAGCGACAGCAGCAGCGGCAGCAGCAGCAGCGGCGAGGAGGAAGAAGAGGAAGAAGAAGAAGATGAGGAATTGAAGGAGTTGCTGCAGCACGAAGAGGACTCAGAAGAAGAAACAGAAGAAGCAGCAGCAGCAGCAGCAGTCGAAGCAGCAGCAGCAGCAGCAAAAGGAGAGGATGATGAAGAAGAAGGAGAAGAAGAAGGAGAAGAAGAAGAAGGAGAAGAAGAAGAAGGAGAAGAAGAGGGAGAAGAAGACGAGGAAGGAGAAGAAGGAGAAGAAGCAGCAGCAGCAGCAGACAAAGCAGCAGACAAAGCAGCAGCAGCTGCTGCTGCTGCAGGTGGTGCATCGGGGGCCGACAGCGGTGGCGCTGCAGCTGCTGCTCGTTCATCATCAGCAGCAGCAGCAGCTGCTGCTGCTGCTGCTGTTGCTGCAGAGCTTGACAGTGACGAGGAGGAACTATCGCTGCAGCAGCAGCAGCAGCGGCTGCTGCTGCTGAATGAGCAGCACGAGCTGCTGCTGCCTTATAAACCCTCCTTCCCTAAGAAAGCTGAGGATACACCCCAATTATTTAATGAGTGGCAACCCTCATCACAAGCTAAACTCCTACACCGGTAAACCCTAAACCCTAAACCCTCGTATAAACCCTAAACCCTAATATAAACCCTAACCCCGCGTGTAAACCCTAAACCCTAATAAACACTTTTTATCTCGGGCTAAGACATAAACCCTAGAAAGAGGAAGTTTACGTATATATTAAGTGGACCCTAAACCCTTCATGTTATAAACCCTAAACCCTCGTATAAACCCTAAACCCTAATTTAATTAAAGCCCCAAACCCCAATCTATTTGCATGCAGTTATATAATTCTATACCCAATGGAGGAAGCAAAGAACAGCAGCAAGATGGTGATGCTGCTGGAGGGTTTGCTGCTGCATCTCGTGCTGCAGTGCCGCAGCAATATCCGTAACGGAACAGGTAAACCCTAAACCCTAAACCCTAACCCCTAATTGTATACCCTACAAACCCTAATTTTCAGCCCCGAATCCAATAGAATTATATATGAATAAAACCCTAAACCCTAAACCCTAATTGTTTCTTGTTATGTGTAGGCTCGTCTTTCTTCGAGCTATGGCGTCACCTGCAGCCACCGATGCTGCAGCTGCTGCAGCACTCAGCAGCAGCAGCAGCAGCAGAACGTTTCTTTAAGCCTTTGCTGCTGCATATGGCTGGGCGTATTGCACCAGGAGATGAGGAGCTGCAGCAGCAGCTGCGCATCTATCTAGATGCTGCTGCTGCTGCTGCTGCACCTGCTGCAGCAGTAAAACCAGTACCTGAGGATGCTGATACTGACACGCTGTTGCAGCTGCTGCTGCAGCAGGTACCGCAGCAACTGCAGCAGGAGTTAGCAGCAAAACAAACAGACTTGAGGTGTATCCTCACCTCAACAGATCTTGCTGTGCTGCAGTTGCTGTTTTGCTGCTCGTCGCTGCAGCAGCAGAGGCAGCAAAGCTTGCTGCAGTTAGCATTCCTTATACTGGATACAGCAGCAGGAGCAGCAGCAGCAGTGCAGCATGCAGATGTGCAGCCTGTTTGCCCTCCCCGCGTACGTCATCTGCTGCGGCGTATAGAGAAGGTGCAGCAGCAGCATAAACTGCAGCCGCAACAGCAGCAGATGCTGCAGCAGAAGCAGCAGCAGCTGCAACAGAAGCTCACTCTTCCTCCGCTGCCCCTGACCCGTGCTGGCGTTGCAGCAGCAGCAGCAGCAGCAGAAGCAACACACGGTCAGATGCTGCAGCAGGAAGCGCAACCAATTAGTGGCAAAAGAGAAACATACGCTGCTATGCCTCCTCCGCTTGCTGCTGCTGCTGCACCGCTTGCTGCGCAGCTGCTGCTGCTGCTGCGACGTGCAGCTGCTGCAGCAACACCGCAGGACGGCTGTTACTTCCCCACCTCCTTCGCATTAGCAGCAGCGCTGCTACACACAGCAGCGCGCCAGCTGCTGCTGGTAGGCAAGCAGCAGCAAGAGCAGCAGCAAGAGCAGCAGCAGCAGCAGCACGAGCAGCACTCCGCAGCAGAAATGCTGCAGCCAGAGCTTGAAGAGCCCGTATTGCGCATCCTGGAGCAGCAACAGCTGCAGCAGCAGCAACAGCAGCAGCAGAAGCAGCAGCAGCAGCTGACGGCGAAGTGGCAGGGTTGGGCAAACTTTGGCTTCTCTGTGGCAGCGACGACCTTCGCCATGTTCCAAAATCTCGTAAACCCTAAACCCTAAACCCCAATTCAAAACCCTAAACCCTAATTCGAAACCCTAAACCCCAATTCGAAGCTCTAAACCCTAAATTTAGACAGTAAACACCAATAAGTAATAACATCGAGTAGTAAACCCTCAGGAACAAAATGAGGGTTTAAGGTTTGGGGTTTGTTGTTGGTGTGCCTGCTGCAGCGGCTGCAAACCACCAGCGCCTACATACCAGCGATGCAGCAGCTGCTGCCTGCACTCCCGCTGGTGCATGCGCTGTTGCTGCAGGCTGCTGCTGTTGCACCAGCAGCAGCAAGAGCAGCAGCAGCAGCACCGGCAGCAGCACCACCTGCTGAAGGTGAGGCAGATGAAGATGAGGAAGAAGAAATGACAACTGCAGCAGCAGCAGCTGCTGCACCAGAAGCAGCAGCAGCAGCTGCTGCTGCTGCAGCAACGGTAGGGGGGCGTTCCTGCTGCTGCTTCCTGCTGCAGCTGCGCTGCCTCTGGCGCTCCGCTCTTGAATCAACAGAAGAAACATTAAAACCCCTCAGTTTGCTGCAGCACCAGCAGAAGGTAAACCCTAAACCCTAAACCCTTATTCCGTTCCTCTCTATGAGCAAATCCTAAACCCTAAACCCTCATTGTGTTCTTCTCTATGAGCAAACCCTAAACCCTAGGAACGGTGCAGTGGCAGCAAACTGGTGTTTACAACCGAGCAACTCTTTTCTACGGGCGATTTAGGGTTTAGGGTTTAGGGTTTAGGGTTTGTGTGTTGCAGATAGGACTACAGCTACTGACACCGCGGTACTATGATATAAAAACCCTCGGGGGTTTGCGCACCAACAGCAGCAATTTGCTGCAGCGGGAGTTGCTGCAGCAGCATAAGGAGAGGAGGGAATATAAACAGCAGCGTCGTAATGCAGCAGCAGCAGTACGTGCTTCTGCTGCTGCTGCTGCTGCTGCATATGCAGCAGCAACTGCAGCAAGAAAAGCAGCAGTTAATACAAACACTAATCGTATCTATAGAATCCTTGAGCAAGATAACATTGAATATAAGAAGATGAAGACAACTGGTAAACCCTAAACCCTAAACCCTAAACCCTAGCAAATCTAAAACCCTCAACACTAACAAATCTAACAAGTATAAAAACCCTAAACACTAACACATATAAAACCCTAAACCCTAACAGCTCAGGAACCCTAAACCCTAGACTGACTGAATATCCCCGAACCTCACTTATGCATGATACAGAAATAGACATTAGGGTTTAGGGTTTAGGGTTTAGGGTTTGTGTGTTTATTAACAGGAGGAGGTATGGATACTTCCTTACAACGTTATAGACCATCAAAAGACAAGAAGAAAAGAAGATTAGCAGGAAATCAAACAGATAGCTAAACCCTAAACCCTAAACCCTCCGAGGAAACAAATGATAGCAGCCGCTGCTGCGGCTGCCGCGGTTATCTGCTGTTCTGCTGCTGCTGCTGCTGCAGCAGCAGCAGAAACAATTTTATAAGATGACTAAACTGCTACGCATTGCATCTTTGTCCGCTATCTAGGGTTTAGGGTTTAGTTAGGGTTTAGGGTTTAAGGGTTTAGGTTCCCTCAGTTCATGGAGGGCTGAGTCTGGCAGATGTTTCATGGCTCGCAGTATGATGTTGCTGACTTGCTGCTGCTGCTGCTGCTGTTGTTGTTGTTGTTGCTGCTGCTGCTGCAGCAACTCGTGCTTATAGTGATTAGATCCACGTACACCCGAAAACAAATTCAGCAGCGGCTGCAGCAACTCACGACGAAACCCTGCAAGACACGCTTCCTGTTTCCGCTGCTGCTGCTGCTGCTGTTGCTGCTGCTGTTGTTGCTGCTGCTGTAGCTGCTGCTGCAGCTTCAGCATCTCCCTGTCCGCATACTCCATATATGCTAAAAGGGCTTCATAGCGGCTTGCCGCAACGCTGTTGCTGCTGCTGCTGCTGCTGCATTCGCTGCTACTACCTTTGCTGCTGCAACCTTTGCTGCTGCTGCTGTTGCTGCTGCTGCTGCTGCTGATGGGGTGCGCAGCAATGAATGCATCAGCGCGTTTTAGCCAAAGCCAAGGATTTTGTTTCAGGCTTCGGCCAATCATTACTCCGCATATGCTGCTGCTGCTGCTGCTGCTGCCGTTGTTGTTGCTGCTGTTGCTGCTGCTGCTGTTGCACTGCTGCAGCAGCCGTGATGCATCTTCTAGATTCTCTATTCCCCCATTCAACGTAAAGAAAAGACGTCGTGATGGTTGCTGCTGCGCTGCAGCCGCTGCAGCTGCAGCTGCTGCTGCTGCTGCCCTGTCATACTGCAGCGGAGGAGCCTTCCTGTTGCTGTTGCTGCTGTTGCTTCTGCTTTTGCTGCAAGACATCCCCAACATTCCCTCTCTTGCATGCAGAATGTAATGACGGGGTGCAGCAGAAGCAGCAGGTGTTGCTGCTGTTGTTGTTGCTGCTGCTGCTGTTGCTGCTGCATCGCATTGCGGCAAGAAGCTCTCAATCGAAGCAGCTTCGCCTACGATTCCTAGGCGGCACTTCACAGACACCTCAACTTGCTGCTGCTGCTGCTGCTGGTACTGCTGCTGCTGTGCTGCTGCTGCTGCTTGCATTGCTGCGCACATAGCACCAACCTTTTGCGGCTCCCGCTGCAGCAGCAAACCAAACCCTCCAGCTGCAGCACAGCTGCTGGGGCAGCCACAGTTAAGATTGAAGAGTATCTGCTGCTGCTGCTGCAGCAGCTGCTGCTCATTCGAGATAACTGCAGCAGCAAGCGTTGCTGCAGCAGCAGCAGCAGCAACATCTGCTGCAGCAAGCTGCAGCACAGTCTTTGCATCCCTTCCTGCTGCTTTAAGCTCTGCTGCTGTGTGCGGCGGCTGTAGGAGCAGCAGCTGCTGCAGCAGCATTTCTCTCTGCTCCGGATCCAAGCCCTGCTGCTGCTGCTGGTGGGGCTGCTGTAGTTGCTGCAGCAGCTGCAGCTGCTGCTGCTGCAGCACAGGAGACAGCATCTCTGTATACAGCACCAAATCCCTCGACAGCAGCCGCAGCAAATAACGAAAGTGGCGATTTGTATAATCAAAGAGAGGAGCAGCAGCAAGAGGACTCACGTCAGCAGGAATGTTGCTGCTGCTGCTGCTGCTGTTGCTGCTGTTGCTGCTCTTGCTGCTGACCCCGATGCTGTACCGTCTACTGGTGTTGGCATTGTTGCTGTAAAGGCTGCTATTGCTGCTATTGCTGCTGCGGGTGAGGCTGCTGCCGAGCCATCTTTGGACTCTGCCTGTCACATTCCTGCTGCTGCTGCTGCTGCTGCTGCTGCTGCTGCTGCTGCTGCCTCTGCAGCTAATGTTGCTGCTGGGTTGCAGGCGGCCGATGAAGGCAGCTGTGCTGTTGCCCCTGTATGGGCCTACCTTTGCTGCTGCTGCTGCTGCTGCTAGCCACAGCAGCACCACATTCAGCAGCAGCATCTGCCGCTGCTAGAGATCACCGCACCCCATTTGCTGCTGCCGCTGCTGCTGCTGCTGCTGTTGCGCTTGTCTTTGCTGGTGTTGTTGCTGTTGCTTGCTTCTGTTGTTGCTGCTGCGGTTGCCTCTCGAGTTTCTGCTGCTGCTGCCGTAGTTGCTGATGTCTGTGCTGCTGCTGCTGCTGCTGGTATGCCGATTGTTGCTGCTGCCGGTGCAGCTGCTGCAAAGCCCTAAACCCTACACCCTAAAGATGAATACTCGGCAGTGAATTGTTGATAAAAAAATATAGATGGGGATGAGGCTTTTAAAAGATTAGGGTTTAGGGTTTAGGGTTTAGGGTTTGGGGTTCAGGGCCTAGGGTTACACACTTGTCACATGCCGCAATGTCTTGGGCCTAGGGTTTAGGGTTTAGATAATAGGGTTTAGATATTAGGGGATGCGTGTTTATATGTATTTGTATATCTAAAAGAATTGGATAACTTGGAGTTAAAGATTAGGGTTTAGGGTTTAGGGTTTAGGGTTTAGAGTCGAGGTTCCGGGTTTACGCTGTTGGGCGATCGGGGCTGAGAGCGAGCACAGAGCCTCGGTGATGCGAGCGCCGACGGAAACCCTAAACCCTACACCCTAAACACTAAAATTGAAAGTGTTTCTTTGCAAAGAAACTGAAACCCTAAACCCTAAACCCTAAACCCTATGGAAGCAGCGTGCTCCATTGCTGTCCTTCCATCGCGCCAAGTTGTCTAGCGGACTGGAAATTGCAAAATCCTAAACCCTAAACCCTAAACCCTAAACCCTAAACCCTAGACTCTTTTGTTTTGGTTATATATACTTTATTTTTGATTCAATAGCTTGACTTCCAAGCCTCTAAGCCCAAACCCTAAACCCTAAACAATAGACCCCGATGATCTCAGGGGACCATTGAAGGCCGAACCGTCATGGTAGTAAACGAGGGGGCTGCTTCTGCTGCTTCTGTTGCTCCAGCAGCAGCAGCAGCCATACGGCAGCAGCAGCAGCAAGAACAGCAGCAGCAGGAGGATGGCCCTTGTGTTTCTTCGTTTGCTTCCCGCAGCAACAGCCGCAACAACAGCCGCAACAACAGCCGCAGCAACAGCCACAGCAGCAGCATCAGCAGCAGCAGCACCAATAACAACATCAGCACCATCTGCACCAGCAGCAGCTGCAGCAGGGGTAGCAGCAGGCTATGGTTATGTTCTTGTGCAGTAGGCCTCTTTGTTGTTGCTGCAGGGTTTGCTGTCTGTGCTGCAGCAGCAGCACTGCAGCCGCTGCAGCACGAGTTCAAACTTTGCGGCAGCAAATTCGCATGCTCAGAGAAAGGAGCATTTGTTGCTGTCTTAGCACCAGGAGCAGCTGTAAACCTTCAAACCCTAAGCCCTAAACCCTAAACCCTAATTCGTAAACCCTAAACCCTAGAAATGCACGGCTTGGCCGTCTTAAGGCTGCACTTCGTAAACCCTAAACCCTGATTCTTTGAGTGATATGCATGCGGGTTTTGCGTTTCTTTGCTTTTACCCGGGGTGAAACACCTAGGTTTTAGGGTTTAGGGTTTAGGGTTTAGGGTTTAGGGTTTGTGCTCAGGTTGGAAGCTTAGTGGGGGGTTATATAGCGGATAGAATTGGCCGTTGGTGGTCTCTATTCAGTAGCTCAATTCTCTTCCTTCTTTCTACAGCTATCATTGTTCTTGCACCAACTTATCCAGTAAGGATTCAAAGTTTAGGGTTTAGGGTTTAGGGTTTAGGGTTTGAGGTTTAGTTATGACCAGCTATTGTTGCAGGGTTGTGTTATGATTGGCGTTGTTTGCTGTGCCTCTCTCCATCTCCCTCTTCACCATAAACCTGATAGTGGACCTAGGGTTTAGGGTTTAGGGTTTAGGGTTTAGGGTTTAGGGTTTAGGGTTTAGGGTTTAGGGTTTGGGTTATATATGCAGCTGGTCTTATTAGGACGTGCCTTCCAAGGTGTGTTTGTAGCGGTGGGGTTGGTCGTCAGTTTTACATTTGCTGCGGAGATCGCGCCCGCTAAATTAAGAGGATCTTTTGTTGCACTACAGGAGGTTCTTCAGTGTACAGGTCAGCTAAACCCTAAACCCTAAACCCTAAACCCTAGTTTTTGTAGGATAGGGTAGGAAGGGCGGACTGTTATACATGCTATATATGGAGTTGATTTATGGTATTACTATCACCTAGTAAACAAATACCTTAGGGTTTAGGGTTTAGGGTTTAGGGTTTAGGGTTTATTGTGCAGGTTGCTTTTTGCCATATCTTGTTGCCTGGGCTATCCCTGGTTTAAGTTGGCGAGGACTTGTTGGCATTGCTGCTCTATTTACTATTTTAATGGTGATTCATAAACCCTAAACCCTCGTCTATAAACCCTAAACCCTTATTTATAAACCCTAAAAAACCCTATCGAACAAGGCCAGCAGGCAACTAAGCGGAGAGGGAATTCGCCCATTTGGTGTTTAGGGTTTAGGGTTTAGTGTTTATGGTGAGTTCGTAGGGGTTTAGGGTTCCTTAGTCTTCGGCGATTTTCTAGGTTTTTGAATTTAGGGTTTAGGGTTTAGGGTTTAGGGTTTGGGGTTTTTGTTGCAGATATGTTGTTTGCCACTGCTGCCTGAGAGCCCTCGTTATCTGCTGCTGCAGCGGGAAGCAGCAGCAGCAGAACGAGCAATGATAAGATTAGGGTATTCGGAGCAGCAGCGGCAGCAGCTGCTGCAGAGCGTGCAACATCAGCAGCAACTGCAGCAGCAAGAGCAGCAGGAGCAGGAGCTTCAGCAGCAGCAGCAGCAGCAGCAGCAGCAATTGGGTCTATGTGACTTAGAGACTGTATGCAGTGAGGAGAGCGCGCCTGTGCCCGCAGCAGCAGCAACAGCAGTAGCAACAAAACCGTCAGCAGGAGCAGCAGAAACAGCAGCAGCTGCTGCTGCAGCAGCACGAATCCTACAGCAAAAAAAACGCCGCAGAATAATTATTTCCTTGCTGCTTGCTGGGGCTTTGGGCTGCATGCACAGCTTATTAGCAGCAAACACTCTTATTGTTTTTATCTCTGATGTTCTTCTTATCCTTGGGGTTTGTGATAATAAAGGACCAGCTATGGTTATTGGATTCGCTAAGGTTAGGGTTTAGGGTTTAGGGTTTAGGGTTTAGGGTTTAGAGTAGGGGAGCGAAGCAAGCAAACCATCACCACTCCAGGTACACATGAACACGTAAATGCAAACACCATTTCCCTTGTGGGGTTTAAGATTTAGGGTTTAGGGTTTAGGGTTTAGGGTTTAGGGTTTGTGTTGCAGCTTGCTGGGGCGTTATCCTGTTTACTATTTGCTGATTCTGTTGGCCGTCGTGTTTTATTATTGTGGGGAGCCGGAGGAATTTTTGCTACTCATATGGGCCTATCCGTAAACCCTAAACCCTAAACCCTAAACCCTAATTTGGACTTACTTGGGCCTGTCTATGCAAACCCGCAGCAGTCATCTTTATTTAGTTTAGGCATATTGTTAGGTGATAAAAATGTATGAGTAGCTCTGTCTAGGGTTTAGGGTTTAGGGTTTAGGGTTTGTGGTTTTGTGGTTTACAGGCATTGGGTCTCGTGCGGCGGCAATTGCTTCCTGAGGGTTTGCTGATCCAGTGTACAGCAGCTTCTTCTCCTGGTGCTGCTGCTGGTGCTGCTGCTGCCTATACACCTGAGGAACTATTTGCTGCTGCAGTAACCAGCGCATGCAGCGGTTTGCTGCTGCTGATTATGATTTTCTTGTGGGGCGCTTCCTGGGCCTGTATATCTACAGTAGTTGCTGCCGAGGTATAAACCCTAAACCCTAAACCCTAAACCCTCTTTATAGAAGTATCCGTGTGTATGTATGCATGCATGCATTCCCCCTCAGTAGCATAACGATACATGCGTTTATGTCCCCACTTTCTCCTCTTCCTCCTCTTTCTTCTCCTTTAGGGTTTAGGGTTTAGGGTTTAGGGTTTGTGTTACTACAGCTCTCTCCTCCTCGTCACCGTGCCTTAGGAGTAGGGTTAGCGAGTACTTGTGGTTGGGGGGTTTCGATCTTCTTTCAACTTTATGGCGAACCTCTCTTGGTCTATCTTGGACCCGACAGTAAGAAAGGGTTTACGAGGGTTTACGAGGGTTTACGAGGGTTTAGAAGGGTTTAGGAGTGTTTGTGCAAGGGTTTATTAGGGTTTAGGCATTTGTAATAATGCACAGTAGGGTTTAGTAAGGTTTAGTGGTATCAAAATTAGGGTTTAGGGTATATGTATTTGGTCGGGTTTATTTCCTAAGGGTTTAGGGTTTAGGGTTTAGGGTTTAGGGTTTGTGTGTGTTGTATTCAGTTGGTTTTTTGTTGTTTGCAATATTATCTTTGGTAGTTTTTTTCTTTACTTCTTTTTTTGTTCCTGAATTAAAAGGAAAAGAATTACAAGGGTCTACTGTAGTTAGCCCAACTCGTATAAACCCTAAACCCTAAACCCTAATTATATTCGAAGTAAACCCTAAAGAAACCCTAAACCCTACACACTTTTGTTCACTTTTATTATTATCAGTGCCAATGTGCGCTGTAAACCCTAAACCCTTTTTTTCTCCAAAGGGGGATTTCACGCTGCTTGGATTGTATTCTATAAGCTAAAGCAGCTAGGGTTTAGGGTTTAGGGTTTAGGGTTTAGGGTTTGTGAGGGATGAGGGTTTAGGGTTTAAAGATTTTCAGTGCCCCCTAAAGCCAACTTTATTCAAAGGGGGATTTTTGCAGCAAACAGCAACTGCTGCAGCAGCAGCAGCAGTTGCAGCAGCAGCAGCAGCAGCAGAAACAGCTGCTGCTGCTGCTGCAGCAATAAGAATAACAATTCTATTTGCAGCAATAAGTGCAGCAGCTGCAGCAACAAGAGCAGCAGCTGCAGCAGCAAAAGCAGCAGCAGCTGCAGCAACAGTGTTTTATACTTGCAGCAGGTCACGCGAATCCTAAACACCAAACCCTAAACCCTAGACCCTAAACACTAGGCCCTAGGTAGCCAAAGGAACAAGTCGTAAACCCTCCGAACCCCAAACCCTAAACCCTAAACCCGCGTGTGTGCTGAATAGTGAATGAGACACAGCAGCAGCGTCTCCCAGTTCTGCTGCTGCATCTTGGCATATCTCCTGCTGCAGCTAGTTGCTGCTGCTAGATAGTTGCTGCTGGTAACTTGCTGCTGCAGCAAGCTTGCTGCTGCAGCTGCAGCTGCTGCTGCTACTGCTAGTTAGCTAGCTAGCTAGCTACCAGTTACTTGAGTAGCATTGTTAGGCACACAGTAGCGAAGCTGCTGCTGCTGCTGCTGCATGCAATTCCCTGCTACAGCAGCAGAGACACCTAAGCAGCAGCAAACAATTGCATGCAAGCATGCATGCATGCATGCATGCGTATGCATGCACATATATGAGTATTTGAGTTTTGGGGCTTTTTTTGTCTTTGTTCGTTTTTGTTATTAAATGTTTATTTATTATTTATTATTTATTTATTTATAAGTAATTAAATTAATTAATTAATTTATTTGTTTATTTCTTCTTTTTATCGCCTTTTACCCCTTTAAAAGTGCTGCTATTTCTTTTGCTGCTGCTCAATAGCTGCTGCTGCTGCTTGCTGCTGCTGCTTAGCTGCTGCAGCAAGCTGCTCAAGGAGGAGTGTTACTTAGGGTTTAGGGTTTAGGGTTTAGTGGTGTTATTTTCATTGATTTAAATATTATTTTTAATTATAAATTAAATTAAATAGATTATTAATTGGTGTTTCTTTTTTGTTCTTCTTTCTTGCTGCTTTAAGGTGTACAGACAACTTTTGCTGCTGCTGCTGCTGCCATCCGCCGCCGTAAGCAGCAGCAGCAGCAGCAGTAGCAGCAGATTCATCTCTTTATTTTATTTAATTCTTTATTTAATTTATTTTATTTATTTATTTATTATTAATTATTCTTCTTTCTTCTTCTCTTGTAACCTCGTCGCGTGCAGAGCACCGAAATGGCAACAGAGGTAGGTTTGTAACCATTTCTAGGGTTTAGGAATTAGGGTTTAGGGTTTAGGGTTTAGGGTCTAGGGTTTAGGGTCTAGGGTTTACTAGAGTATTCTACGCAGGCGGAGGCCCTGTTGCTGGAGGTGGGGGCGGAGATGGGGAGGACAGAAGAGGAGATGCGGCCCTTCATTCGCAAGTAAGGGTTTAGGGTTTAGGGTTTAGGGCCTAGGGTCTAGGCTTTCTAGAGATATCTAGGGTTTACGGCAATCGAGGGTTTAGGGTTTAGGGTTGGTGAGGTTTGTGTGTGTGTATGTACTATCAGGATAGTGGAGGAGAATTGGCTTGAGACTAAAGGTCATTAGATTGCTGCTGCTGTTGCTGCTGCTGCTGCCGCTGTTGTTGCTGCTGCTGCATGAGCTTTCAGTGTTGCTTTTGCTGCTGCTGCTGCTGCTGCTACCTTTTCTTGTTGTCCTGTTCAATGATGCTATTGCTGCTATTGCTGCTGCTGCTGCTACTACTACTTATCAGCATCCTGCAGGCATTGTCTTCTGTCTTTTGTTGCTGTACTTTCTAGTGAATCATCTCTCTAGGGTTTAGGGTTTAGGGTTTAGGGTTTAGGGTTTATGTGTACAGAGAGTCTTGCTGCATTAAGTAGCGAACAATGGAAATCTTTGGCGATTCCTTTGCGTCTAGAGACAGCATTAAGGGCTCGTCTTTGCCCCCCTGCTGCTGCTGCTGCTGCTGCTCCTGCTGCAGCTGCAGCTGCTGCTCCTGCTGCAGCAGCTGCTGCTGAGAATGGAAGCAAAGGGGGAGGCGCAGCAGCAGCAGCAGAGACGACTGCTGCAGCAGCAAGGCGTAAGTCTTACGGCTTATTTTACGTTGCTTCTGCTGCTTCTTTTCCTGCTGTTGCTGCTGCTGTTGTTGTTGTTGTCTATACGCGCAGCTGCTGCTGTTACTGCTGCTGCTGCTGCTGCTGCTGCTGCATCTGCTGTTGTGTGTCATATGCCGCTTGTGAGCAGCATCAACACAACCCCAGGATGCATCATCCTCTCCTCAGGTGCAGCAGCAACAGCAGCAGCAGCCGGTGCTGCAGCTGCAGCAGCCGCAGCAGCAGCAGCAGCAGCAGCAGCAGCAGCAAGACGGATTTACAGTAGAGAGGGGCGATGCCCCTGATGCTCTTTTTGTGTGTACAATACAAGACGCACTAGATGCCTTCGAGAGACAGGTATGCAGCAGCAGCAGCAACAGCAGCAGCAGCAACAGCAGCAGCAGCAACAACAGGAGCAGCAGCAGTAGTAGTAGCAATAGCAGCAGCAGCAGCAGCAACAGCAGTCAACAGCAGGAGGAAGAGAAAAGGAAGAAGGCAGTAAAGTAGTATAAGTGTTACTGCTGCTGAACCTTCGCTGTCTCTGCTGTTGCTGTTGCTGCTGCTGCTGCTGCTGCTGCTGCTGCAGTTGGATCAAGAGAGTCGTAAGGAAGCCATCCGTGTGCTGCAGCAGCTGCTGCTTGGTGTCCTTAATGAGCCATTAGCAGCAAAGAAAAGAAAAGTTCGTGTTGCTAATAATACATTCAATACAGCAGTAAGAGAGGCATAAACCCTAAACCCTAAACCCTAAACCCTAAACCCTAATTTATATACCCTAAACAATAACTAGACACACACACCGTCACGCACCTCTTGAAATAGGTTGGAGTAAAGAAACCCTAAACCCTACACTACAGATAGATACACCTGTTGCCACTGCGAGGGCTGAGGGTTTAGGGTTTAGGGTTTAGGGTTTAGGGTTTGTGCAGGTTGGGCGACACCCTGCTGCAGTGAGGGTTTTGCAATCAGTAGGGTTTGTGGAGGAAATAAACGGAGGGGAGAAGTGTTTAATTCTTCGTGCAGCTTACTTACAGAGGTTAAACCCTAAACCCTAAACCCTAAACCCTAGATAGTAGTAAACCCTAAACCCTAATCTGTAAACATTTTTGCAGCAGCCACAAACCCTTACACAACGAATGCCTGTCTTCCAAACCCTAAACCCTAAACCCTCGTCGCCAGCAACATTATCTCAATCCCTCTCTCTCGATCTGCTGGGGGACCTTTCTAGGGTTTATTAGGGTTAATTAGGGTTTAGGGTTTAGGGTTTAGGGTTTAGGGTTTATGTATTTAGGTTAGTATTATGTTATCGTTTATTAAGCGAAGTTGCTTCTTCTCTTTCTCTTTTTCTTCCTCCTTTGCCTCGTGGATATTTTGATCCTTTTGCTAGTACTGTTACCTCTAGCGCAGGACACAGGTAAACCCTAAACCCTAAACCCTAATAAACCCTTAGAAACCCTCAGAAACCCTACTGAACTAAACCCTAATCTCATAAACCCTCGTAAACCCTTGTATTCGTTAATGGTAGTGCGTGACGAACGACACAGGGGTGATGTACTGCAGGGGGGGGGTTAGGGTTTAGGGTTTAGGGTTTATTAGGGTTTAGGGTTTATT